GTTAAAGAGCGGTATCATCGATCATTGATTCTAGTAACTATACATTTCTCTATTTTTGATGTGTTTGCTGTTTGTCAGCAAATCGGTAGAATGCTATATAAACTCTAAGACTGCTTTCATCGTGTTCTCTCTTTTTCTCTTGTACTCCTCCCTGTAATAGTGATTACTCTCCATTGCGCATATAGCCTCGTTCATCATACAAGATTAAACTTTTTCCTAACAAATATAACTTTACTCTAACTCACTGTGTTGTAATCTATGTCTACTTAACCTTTCGTGAGCTCACTATCACAATAACTAACCATGATACAGCTTCATCGATTGATATTAATTATATGACCAACTAAACTATAATTATGTTTAGTTATAATCACTAATATGAATTTGATGCGTACACCAACGATTTTAACTAACCTGATAAAACTTGATCAAACGAATAAGTAAATGATTGGTCAAGCAATACTAGTACATCATAGTTGTAATCATTAGTGTGAAATATCATGCATGCACTAATGATTATTGTTATGATACACCTGGATTAATTCACACGAATAATTATACAATCGATAAATCTATGCCATGGTTAGTTATGATTAATGAGAATTTTGATATATCCACTTGCACTAATGATCACAATTACAATTAACATAATATAACTTGATTGACTCACATTAATAATTATAATTATATGATTCATCGAGCTACATCAGGGTTAACTATAATCATTAGTATAAATTCTGGTACATGCACTAATGGTTATGGCTAATCATGATATAATTCGTTAATATTCTATCAGATATATGATTGATTGAGCTATATCATGGTAAGTTGTAATCATCAGTGTAAATTTCATGAATGGGCTAATGATTATATTTAACCATGATACTGCTCGATCGACTCACACTAATTATATGATTGTAATGCGGCAAACTACATCTTAAACTATAAGATTTTACTAAATCACAACAATAAAGTTAGACCGACGAAAACTTAAAAATCTGCTTTTATTACAATAATTAAAAGGGCCCGTGTAAGCTAGTCTATAATAGCAGAACAGTAAAACACGCGATACTATCTCTAAACTCCCACGATTTCTATCTCTAAATCTAATCAAAAAGGTTCTTCTTATATATGCTCAATGTTTACGTCGAGCCTAGCAAATAATTTCACCTGGACCAGCAGGTCATTTCTATATAAATCATTTATTTAAATCCTCTATTGTCCCTTAACGATCAATTTACCAATTAACAAGTTTCTTATTATCTATCAACTTATCTCATAACACCATTATAATCTAGAATCACGTTTTAGGCGCCAATGGATTTTACATTAGCTCCTAATTCAAAATCCCACATTTATCGAGTTTATATGCTCGATAGTAGCTAAGAATAAACCATAACAATAGGAACGATAGGCGTGAGAACGCGAGGCACCCTAATCTGGTACACTACTTTCCAATTAACCACAGTTCCCTACAATGATCGATCGAGCTATATCATGGGTTATATATAATCATTAATTTAAATTTTGATACATGCCATATGATTTTAACCAACCATGATATGTTTCGATTAATAAACCATAGCGACATAGCCGTTAAAGTACTAGTATAGTTTATTTATGGTATGACTCGGCATCCCAAATTTTTATTCTGTGGTATTATAAGCGTATTTCACTATTTCATAACGCAATAAGTTAGAATTGGAATGAACGGACTGTTTTTCTATTATGATATCCTTCAGTTTTTATGTTAGACTGTCGTCTAGCCCATAACTGATAAGATAAGATTCAACAATACGTGTAGGTCTCATCAACATAATTTTGTCTGGGAAAATGTTTTTATAAAAACGGCTCTATACAGCACAGTATTGGCTATACCCTGTATTAGTAGTTGACATTAGTAGATCTGGATGTTCCTAAAAGCTCCATGGAAAGCAATAAAATGCATCCGTACGTACGAAATTTAACTTAAATTATAATATAGAGGTTTATTGAAGCCGCTAAGCTGTGATTCTGTAAGATCATCGTTAAATTTCTAATAGAAATAAACAATTTCCAGTGTAGTGTCCAAATGGTGTTACCCAAAACTTAAATTGGACGATCACTTTACGTTCTTGTTAACTATAGTCCACAGCGCACTAAAATTAAGTACAAATCAAGTTGAACAACTGAATATATTATATAAATGTGTAAAATATTTTCGTCCGATGCCGTACTGTACCGTATTCCAATTACAGACGATAAATACGATCAAGATATCTCATCTCTTAGATATTGCAAACATATAAATAAGATAAAATTAATACGTCAATAAAAATTCCGTTATCAATGATACCGCTAATTTTTAGGATGATACTCTCGGTAATACATTTATAGATACTGATTTTATCTTGAACGTCCACTTAACAAAAATTTATTGAGATAAAGTTATGGCCTATCAAATGATTAAGACATCGATTTACTTGATAAATAATGCAGATTACTAAATTACGTCTTGTTATGCATTAAAATAAATTCAATATTCAGCTCGCCTAATTGATCAGGAATTCGTAGATACAGGTTTACGTCGTATAATACCGTTGTATGTTCAAGTGAGCAGGATTGGCTATTGCCCGTTTATGGTATTGTATTCTAAAGCTATTTTCTAATAACTCATAAAAGAGTAATTTTATAATTCTTTTTAAATTAAAAGATTATTGTTATTCCTAAATTAAGCTATCAACAATTGATAGCTAGGATCATGCAGGGAATACGGACACAAAGAATGATATCGCAGAAGCAGACATAATAATTGCTAAATTCCAGACCTATAAGGTGCAGATTGGTTGCTATACAACCTTTAATATGTGACGAGAACGTTTAATATGAAAGTACTAATAATAGCAGCGTTAGACGTATAGTCCTATCAATTTATGTTGACGCTTAACTTTAAAGCGGTCTTATCTAAAATATGCTGTTTTGGAACGCGATACACAGGCGCATGCATAAGTATATAATTAGATGTACAGATTTTAAAATTTGTATTTTCTGATTTCAGAAGCATCAAGCTGGTCTCGCTTTAAGTTCACCAAAATAGTATCAAGTGGTATCTAAAATTTTTCTTTGTATGTAGGTAGCGTAGATCATACTATTTCTCACTGACGTTAGATATTTTAATATTTGTAGACCCTAGTTATATGTAGGTGCTTAACTTTATATTCACAAAATCAAATAAACATGCTATAAAGTGAAAAATTAAGTTATCTTATTTGATACCTCAAACTGTAAGACTTATTGCGTAATTCATCTTTCGGTGTGGCTTTTTAATACGATTGGTACCACCTGATTTTAATACTTTTCTTAAAACAAGGTTCATTTTAATTGCAGCAAATTCTGGTAAGTTTTAAATTTCAATATTTGTTTCATTAACATCCCATCATATATTTCAAATACATCTTACGGTATAACTTAAGACCCAATTCTGTTAATAGCACAAGCAGAAGTAGATTATACTTCTTGAATTAATATCTGATTTAGCATCAAATTGAAGTAAGTTTTATGCGGACTCATAAGGTCATAGTTACTAAAGTAATACAGTAAAAAAAATCTTTGATATATTAAGTGCTTTTATTCATATCGAACTTATTCGCACCGATAATTCCATCTCCTTAATTTTACAAAGGGTCTCTCAACCTGTTTTCATTAGCGATTATTCATCGCCTTTAAGAAGTGCCGTGTCGTTCGTCTTCAATAATATTGAATTGAAGATATTGCTATATTACACAGGATAAGCTTGTAGCTAGGAGGTGCGATCAAAAATTGTAATACTAGGTTTCTCTAGATTTTAAGTTCTTTCCTTACTGTAGCTAGACATAACATGTTTTATCCTTATTCTAATGAGAATGACAAAAAACGCTCGGCAATAGCATCCCTATTATATGTTATTTTCTATATCGACAAGGTATGCACTATATTTTATGAAACATATAAACGTTTAACTCTAGTTTATGACAACAAGTTAAAGTAGGATTCCTGAAAGCGATACTTAGACTATGAGTAGCTATAGCTAATTACTTTGACAAATATATCTATGTAGATACGAGCATTTTACTATTGCTAGCGCCTCGATGCCTTAGGGCATTACATGAAATTCAATATACTGTATTGATATTTGCTCGTAAGTTATTTGATTGCTTAAGAACTGATTTCGTCCACAAGTGCTAGAGTAAACGATTTCAAGATTTAATATTTGATTTGTAGTTTGTGAATTCTGTTTTCTATTTTCAAGTGCTACTACAAGAATCTCTAAGTCATCAATAATATTTTACTAAAAATGTTATATTGAAATAAATATTTTTCTAGTCGGTAATATTATAATGCCTCTAATTAATATAATTACGGCATAATAAATTAAAATAAATTAATCGCTGCACTACTAGTCATCTTTAGTAAATTTACAACGTGTTGCAAAATAACTCGCACCGTAACGGTAACCTTTTGAAAGAAGTATTTAGCGCTATGTTCGGGCAACATCTAGATATTTGACGTAAAATTATTCAAAATTTTAAGCCAATCACGCTTCAAGATTTGTATATATCGTTCTGTCAGATGGTGAAACTAAAATCTCTTTTTTTACATTACATATTATCAGTTTTAGCTATTTTTGAATCAAGATTGTTAAGAAATGTTGCTCTATATTCGTTTATAAAATCGATTGGTTAGTTTAATTGTAATTAATACGAATTATTGCTATCTCTTGTTGTAGCTATATTCTCTGCGATATGTCTTCAAATCTGAGAGTATTGGAACATATCAGACAGCACTTCCTATTTGGTGTTTCCAAAGAAATAACTACCAATGATACAGCACTATCAACTAGTGAAGATGTGGTCCGTTATTACTTATGGCTTAGATAGCAGTTACAATCTTCGTATCAACTGAGTAAAGAATCAAAACATCAGATAATTGAGCAACTGTGTAATAAACTAATGGTAATTTGGCAAAACGCAAATATTCTAATTATGACAACAATAAGAATACGTAGCGAGGTATTGAACTTAGTTAAGCGATTTCATGAAATTGATAAAATTCCTAAGTATCAAAGACAAGAAATTTATTTAAGATCTAAACGTGAAGAATTCATGAAACTGTTTGACATATGCAAATATTCTTGTTATAAGGAGAAATTAAAAATTAAGATCGATCTAACACGAATTAATTTTTCCATATGCAATTGTAAGGCTAAGTTACAGGAAAATATCATCGTTTTATATATTGATCAGTTAACTGAAAGAAAAAAGATAATCTCGCAAGGTAATCCAGTTAGTGTTCTTGATATCAATGCCATCCACCGGTCTGTTCATATAGACAGCCCACAGTTATCACTTATAGATACTACTAATGAATCATTTCATGAAATTGATGATCCAAATGATGAAACCTTTGAAGAACCTGCAGCGACAAGAAATAAATGTTCAGAGTCTTCTCGGGTAAGACAGAATCGTTATTAATATCCTACGCTCTGCATGAATATACAAAGGATGGGAATGCCAGTACGTGAAGCTTGCTTAGCTGTTAATTCTGCGTTATCAGATATGGGACTCTTATCACTTGGCAATATAATTGATACCACCAAGCTACAAAGAGCCAAAAAAAGACATGGAAATGAATTGGCTTCGATTGCAATGAGCAACGAAATTAAATGTTTAATGTTTGATGGTCGTGAAGATAAAACATACTACAGAACTGATGCTAATGGCCTAAGATGCGTAAAGAAAAGCATATCGCTATAATTAGAGAACCTGATAGTGAGTATTTAGATCATGCGACCGTAGTGAATGGTAGTGCCGCATAAATTACAAGTGCAATAATTGAGCTCATTGGTAGGTATTCTATGGAGTCTTTACGAGCCATAGGATGCGATGGCACATCAGTAAATATAGGATCGATGAACGGAGTTATCCGTCGATTGGAGCTATACTTTAAGAAGCCACTACAGTGGATTGTGTGCCAGTTGCATTTCGTAGAATTGCCTTTTAAGCAGCTTTGTAAATTTTTAATGGAAACGAGCACTCGGCCAGCATCGTTCAGCGGAGACATCAGCAGCAAGTTAAATAGTGATTTATCTAAACTGCCAATATGCAATTTTAATTCAATTTCAGGTCAAGTGGTTGAATTTCCAGAAGCAGTTGTAAAAAGCTTCAACTGTGATACAGCTTATCTATACCATATGGCAATGTCAGTACAACGTGGAGCACCGATGCCTGAGAGGCTCAGCTTGCTAAACCCTGGAAAACTTCATGAAGCCAGATGGACAACGAGAGCTAGTAGGATACTGCGCCTTTATGTCTCATCTAAATGTCCATCACCATCGTTGATTAGGCTAGCTTATATTATAAATAATTTTTACGCTCCTGCCTTGTTTCAGATTATTAGTAATCAAATGTGTTTTCATGGAGCAAAAAATATACATTTCACTATTACGTTAGCGAATTTGTATTTATCAGAAAGTGAAAAAAAAGTTGTTTTTAGATCTATTTCAAATAACTCATATTTTATACATCACGAGATTATTTTATTAAGTGCTGTCGTTGATGATAATCTTAGCATTAGAAAAATTGCTATAGAAATAATCTTATCTATCAGACAAAAATGTCGTGAAGTAGTTGATAATACTGATGAAGTTCGGCGATTTAGATTGCAAAATATATTAATTTCAAGGCAAAAGATTTTCTAAATTTAGTAAATATTCAGGACGCTGACACCGAATCACCACTTTTAATGGACTTTTCGGATCAAGAATTATCTGCTGCTATTCGTGCTGATACCAGGCTAGAAATGCCCTCAATACCGGGGAACACAAGAGCTGTTAAGCGTACAATTAAACTTATATCTGAAGCTTGTAGTTACGTTGTTGGTTATCAAAATAGACGTAACTATATCTTAAATACTCTGAAATCGCGTTCTTTAATTCCCGGAATAGGATGGAAAAAAGATTTTTTTAAATGTATAGAATCATGATTTAATTGCTACAATTTTCTAACTAGCTGGCGACTATTGATGCTGCTATCGTACTCTATGTTTAATGTCCATACCTTAATCAAATTTGATATTATATGTTGAATTAGCAACGTTTCAAATAAAAGTTCAGTTATATGATCACAAAATAAACGCCTATATATAATCGATTTTTGAAATAGCAAGGTAGCAGGATAACGACAAAAGAGAAGATCAATGCGGCTTTCCATTTACCTGAAATGGTCTTTCAATTCAATAAAGCTAAATATCGTTATCATCAGTCGAAGCAAATTGTAGTAATAGTAAAAATGATATTTAGTCAATAGATGCTGATGTAGGAATCTGAACTCCATAAATAATCAAATACAAAGCATCATTAAATAAAAATTGTTTATAGCATATTGTATATTGCCTGGAGATAGCCAATTTTAGTCGCTTCCTTAGTATGATTTAGTCCATTCATTGATCTTTATCAATATACTTATAAATATGAAATATGCAAATTTCAATTATGAAAATATAATGTATATATAGTGTAATTAAATAGATTTTTATTCTATTCTCAATTCATGACATCAAACCATAATATAGCTAATATATTCGCAATATTACAAATTACAATAGAAAAATAGTAACAAAAATATCATTTATTTCCTACTTATTACATTATAAAACGATGAAATACGTGCATAATGCCACAAAAGAAAAATTTTAGATACCGAATCATACAATAAATAAATGAACTATGCTAGTCTTATGGTACTTTAACAGCGATGTGTCTGTGTGACACTAATTAATAGTAGCTCTGTTAACTTGGTTGTCATAATTATATTTGGTGTTTTATTTAATTATGCAACTTATCTTTTTATATATGTAATCAAACATATATAATCTGCACCTAAAAGGATAAATAATTTAATAATTTCAAATATGCTTACTGTATTGTTATCACTTTTTCAAAACTAGTCGCAATTGATTTTCTGATTTACCCCTAAACTACGAGTTTAAAGGAAATTAATTTGATAATGTTTACTTATAGCTTAGATTTATTAGTAAATTCGTAATTCTTTATAAGATTTTCTTTTATATTCGAAGTAATGAAAGTAAAATATATCTTATGTATTAATACCCATGTTAAGTATTTTTAAATTCAAATGCTTATTTTAGACCTTTCTTTTAATATACCGCATTAAATAGTCGATTCTTGTCTGATTTAACCTTGTACTTATGGCATTCGATACTATATCGATGCTTGAAATTGAATTTATGTTATTCTATGGTAACATGTCTTTCGATCTTAAATCATGCCGTATCTGATACACTTGCTCCATCATGTCAATTAATAAACTTTTGTTAACTTACTCTACAAAATAAATTAACGTAAGAGATTAGAATAATAAAATTTACAATTGATGTTTGCTTCTATTCAGATACATATGATAACTATTAACCTATACTGTAGCTTAAGATGGCAGATGGTATTTATATTAACTAACAGTGTATCCTAAATCGATTAAGATAAACAGCTTACTTATCATGTAAATCGATTTATCCCCAAGATTTCACTAAAAATGTTTGATAGCTTAAAGCTTCTAGATTTATATATAAATATATATATGTAGACGTATTTCTATGCAGCATAAGGTTTAGCAACATTTCAACAAGTAGCCCATGGTAGTGAAGAAAAATTTATAATTAGTAACATACAAAGAGAAACAATTTTCTCCAATAGTATCTAGGCAATATATTTAATTCTTAGGCTTTTTATAAAAGATTCTGGCCACTTTATAGATTACCTGTAATACTTGCAATATCATTATAATTATAAGCCTAATATATATAATATATCTGTAGATAGCACAATTTATATCAATCTACAGAGCTATTTTATAAATATGTGCATAATAGATGTTTAATAATTATATAATTATCAATCAATCAATACGGTTCATCCTAGTTAGCATTTACTAAATGTAATAATTTAATCCGCAGTATAGAAATATCATTAACAAAGTCAACTGTAATTCTTTTAACGCTAAACAAAACGATATCAAGAGGCACTGACAAGATATCATTTAACAAAACTTTTACGAACATAGAACAGGAGAAATGTAAGTAATTTTGTAGTGATGTGAAGATTGCAATAAATTTCAATAATTCTAAGTAAGAAAATTATAGACATATACATAGCAATGTACAGTAATTGCTGTTTAAAGTGCTCTTTTTCACAATTTATATAATTAACTATCGGTTACGTATCTAATCATAACAAACGGATTAAAATTACGAGATAACTGCAGTAGCTTATTATATTTTAGACGAGAATGTTAATTATTACGAAATATAAAATTATTTGCATAGGCAATATACGAATTTTGGGAGATTAAATTACGAAATTATGCACTTCTTATCATATATTTCGAACTTTTTAGTGTCATAGCATAGTATCATTGTAGATATACTGTCGTTACGAAAAATTACAATATTTTAATGGTTAATTTGGGTAAATACCAATATTTTTATTAATTTATATTAAGTAATTACTGTAGTTTTCGCTTTAATATGGCACATTATTAGCAGTGATTCCGTTACATTCGCCGAAAAAATTTTAAACCCAAATAATCATAAAATATTTAGTCTTCATACTAATGTAGGGCTCATTGATTTATATAGTGCCTTAAAGATAATTTATATTCAGATCTCGAGTTACGTATATATATTTAGGAAATTAGTTAATTTCTGGTTCACAAGCTGCTATTACACTATTGAGTAATGCGGAAATCACTAGTATATTAAATGAATTCCATATATATTACTATATCTTAGATACTTTTTGGGGCTTATGGCCTTCCGTAGTAAGATGTTGCATGACTAACGTGATAGTTCGAAATACAGACAGTACATAAGTCAGTATGTATTATTCTATAAGATAATCAGTTCAAAATAAAGAATCATTTTATTGTAAATTATAATTATCAAATTTATCTTTTAGAGTTCCGTATCCCAATGACGAATATGGCCGTCACCTTTTTTGAGTTACCTAAATCCCGTGACGGTATTCCTATCATTATTTTCTATTTGTAAAATTCATATTAGCGGCTTTCGTCACTAAATGTGGTGTTTTAATTAATTCTTAATTCTTCCCTGTGCATACTGTAGTTCCCCTGTCCCGGTTATTTTGATTGCTATATATCATATAACAAAAAGTGTTTCTAAGAGGATAATGTCAGTTAGTTTAGACTAGTACTGTACAGTACTACAGTATAGACGTACCGCATACTGTGACGGTCTGCATTCTGAGATACAGTACTCTAAGTCGCGAATAACGATTAAAGTACAGTACTGTACAGTATGTGTACAGTATAGTTATAATAATACTAAGTCCGAACCGTAGCGTAATGTCATGTCTGATAATTATAATATAATTAATTATAATTAATTATATATAATAGATAAGTAATACTTCATCGGCATTGCTTTACACGGCCTTTTGATTATTCTGCTAACGTACAGTACGTACAGTTCAAGCCTCAATAAATAAAGTTAATTAACTACTGTAGTAGAAAAGCACTAGCTATATTATATGAAAAGTATCACGGGTCAACCTCAAGATCTATTACAGTCATTATCACATCTGATTACATTGCACTGTGCGGTAGTCCCCCACCACCTTACATAAAGTTCTTAGGACGGTTTCAGCTAAATATTCTGATTGTCATTCGACTCCGATCGAATAATACGATAGAAAAGAAAGACGAATCATTTCATCACCTTAATGTTAATTAGTGGGTAATACCAGCAAGTTATAGGCATTCCAAAGCATGCGAGTTAAGATGTGCGCGAGAGAACTAGTATTTTAACGGATATGAAAACTAGGCTCTACCAGATTATGCGGCCATTTCGAACGCTTGGTTCAGGAATAAAAGTGAAAGGAAGCTGACGTTTAATTAATTCAATCTAATATTTATAAACTAAGTGTTCAAACGGTTCTCACACTTTGCACTCTTGTAACTTAATTTTATTTCGGGTAGAGATGAGAATAAAATAATTATTAAATAGTTGTCGATATAGCTTTTTATATTACTAATTATTAACTCGAGGAATTAAATAACTTAGCTATAGAACAATAAGTACCTATAGCAAAATCTCGTACGTATACTCACATTGTAGGCAATCATTTTAATATATAAATAATTATATAAAGAATAATAATCAATTAATTATGTATTAATCATAGTAATTTAGAACTATATAAAATTAGTCAGATTCTTTCAATATAATGTCATAAATATAAACATTGCATAAGAATGTAAGTGATTTTGTTGTCAATTACAGTAGTCCAATATCGTTTACGTTATAGAAGAAATTGATTAATAAATACTGTAATTAATATACAGTATTCCGATATTATCTGTTAAGACATTACTAGATCATTGCACGTAGATATTTGAACTATCAAAATTAGCATTCCTTATCTAAATGCAGTATTATTAATTTATTTCGAGTCTTACGTTAAGTATACAAGTGGATCGGTGGCTGATGGTCTTCATACTGTAGGAAATACGTACACTGTGTACGATACATATCATGGATACAAATAAACGGCTTACGAAGCAAATTATGCCGAGTATTTTATGTACAGTAAGACTTAGCGATATGATGCCATCTGTTACGTTGAACCGAGTGTAGGTATCGTAGCGTAAACATACATTAGTCAATCGTGAATTCTGCATAGTATTTGATAGAAATGTGTACAGTTTTGCAATCACTATTTTATACAGATATTGCAACAATGCATAATATTATTACAATACAGAGCACATTTTGGATTGCTGTAAATGAGAATTGGGCTTTCTAACAAAGTTGCTAAATGATTGTGTTGGAGCTAGTGCATACATATAGCCGCGTGTATCGGTTGTAAAAAATTGTAAGAAATCCGATGAAAACTTAATATCATAAGATTTTCCATAAAGAGGAAAATTCTGTATTATGATACCGTCAATTGCGTTCCACCAAATAACTGAATCGCCAGTGCTTACAATTATGAGATCATCAGGCGAAAAATGACAGCTAAGAATAGCAGTATATTGAGAATTAAATTTAAGTATCTGGCAACCATCAAGTATGTTCCATATCTAAAACATTTTAAATAAATCTAACGTTAGCCTAAATTGTAATAAATCAGTAATGATTGATTAATTGTGCTGTATATTAGAAGATGCATAAAAGTAATATTTATGTTACAAGGAAAGATTTTTACATTTATAGTTCCATCTTCACATCCTATTGCCACTTGGTCAGCGAAATTAGCGAAGGAACAACAAGTAATTTTACAATTATGACGTAGATTATGAATGTTAGTTAAGGAAATAGACTTCCAAAGCTAGATCAAGAATGTAAGATTATAAAAATTAGTATCAAAGATACGATAATTCTGAGATGAAGCAAGTCCCTATATAAACGAACGTATAATATATTAACATATTTACGCTGACGCTATCAAGCAGAAATGACGTTGTAGTGACAAAAGCATTATAGACAGCAAATTTTCAATTTATTCGTTACTTTATGAATAGATAGCTAATCCCATTGCCGAGATATATATTATGCCATGGTGTAAGCATTTAAATTTTCTAATAGAGAAACTAAATTCACTAATGTACGTAATAATCCATTTAATGATTATCATTTGCAGGATAGTTAGAAGCACTCAACTATGGTTCAAAGTGCTTAATTTGAGTTAAATTCTAGCTTCTCTGCTGAACCATGTAAGCAGGCAGAGTAACTCATAAGCCTCTTCGTGGCGCTATAAATCATTTGTATTCAATAGAAATAGGAAGTAGAGTGAATAGCATTATTAAAATCTACACTTGCGTAATTATTGTGTAATTGTGTATAGTCATGGTATAACTAATTTAGCATTATGCAGATCAATATACATTTAAAGATAGCGTAAGCATATATAAGATGAGTATTCTTTAAGCAGCGATGAGTTGCATAGCACTTTGACGTTTTACTAGCACAATAAAGTTGTGGTCATACAAAACAGGAACTACACCATATAGTTGTTAACTTTAAATTCTTAAAGTACAGCACTCTTATCATATGTATTATTTGTAAAAATTTGTCGTCAATAATAATTTATAATCTATTATACATATTGAACTTTCCAGCAGTCACACTTACTTTCGCTACTCCGTTTGCGGCTGAAGTAATAATGAATGATCTTATTGGTGATATTTCACAAATTTCTATGCCGTTCTTATGTGCTTTCTTTTCCAAAAGCACTTGATTATTAGTAAACTGGATCATCTACATTAAACATCCATATAAACACAAAAAAAATAAATTATTTGCTAATGATTACCAACATATAAACACTATATTAATTCTTTTCATGGCTTTTATTCGGTGACATGTTGCGCCGTACTGTATATGCATATAAAGATTATAAATAATCTCTTTGTATACAAACTCTTTACACGATAATTGCAAATTCAGTACTTTAATATAGTTAATTTCCTAGAAACTACTTCTAAGTAAAAATATAATAAATACGGTTAGCTGAGATTGCAAGACAAGGAGATATTTCCTACGGAACACAAGTATTTCAATAGTGAAATCCAGAGGGTTACAAAAGATTATATACAGCCTGGTAGAGTGACACTACAGTAAAACAGTATTTAGAATTTATTACAGTATAACGTCTATTTAAATCGGTTGATATAATTTGCGAATCTTAAACTTTTGTACTTAATCTTGTAAGTACAGTGGTTATGCAATTGCCTGTTTTACATTTTAATTCGATATAAGCTGGTTTACCTGTAATTTTCCATTCTTAAATGCCAAAATAACTTTATGCAGCTTATCATTTACTGGCAGACAGCGTTTTATTACAGAGCATAACTTGGAAATTTTACCTAATAGGTATCCGTTTCTTCTGCTTAAAATCTAAAGGATAGTCATCATGTCAATGAAAATTAACAGAAAAATTATAAAACGATGATAAATAGATAAATGTACAGTCTGGTCAATGGTCATTTTCTAAATGCACGTTTAGTCAAATACTCCCATGATACAGTGATCATATATAAGAACGGAAATAAGTGAGGAACAGTGTTTAGACTGTATATGAAAGATTGTTACGTTATACTGCATAGAGTTTAATTTTTTATCGTATTGGTCAGTGTACCAGCCGATTACTGACGGATTACAAATAATTTCCTTCTCAAATGAACTATGAGAATCTAGGTTCGACTGTATAGCTGATAAATAATGAAGAACTACCGTAATGTAACAAAGACTAATGATGCTAACTTGATGGCATTCTACTTCATAAGGCCATTTGTTGGTGTAATAGAAGCTCATAGAGATATTTGATTCTATACTGGTATTTGACAAAATCACGCGCCAGAGATCTTGATAAGGTGTAGTAAAATGTTTTAAGATAAGGTTAACTGTAAGGTTGAATGTTAGCAGCGGGTAATTGCTAGTTAATACTTTATTAGTTAAGTTTATTCACATTTCACTCATATTTAACCGACATACGTATATTTCTGTCTCGTATACCACCAGTAATTTGTTCCCTCTGTCAGTAAATAAAAACGAAACCACCGATTCATTGCTTGGTTTCTCTGACCAAATGACTTGCTGATTGCTTGCAGATAGTAACTATAAATAGTAAATTATAAAAACAAATAAATATTTAACATTAGTCTACACGCTTACTATTTCTTACGATATTCCATCTATATGCGCTCGTAGGTTTCTCGTGATTATATATATGATTTATATTAATAAATGAAAATCTGCAAAAAGTAGTAAATATGTATTACTTTAATTTCTCCATTATACAATCCAACGGCTATATTATATCCATCTTGAGATAAGCAACATTTCCATATTAATTCAGAGAATTTCTCACACTTTGAAGCTAATTTAGAATCAGATCCAATAAAATGCTGCAAGAGAAGGTATTAGAAGACTATGTCAGCTTCTTGCTCAATGCAAGTTGTACCACGATCAGCTAATGCTATATGTCGGTGAAATATATGTATGCTACTATTGATGTTTTTTTAAGTTAAAGTCTTTAATTCTAGATTTACTAAGCAGACGAATATAACGTTTTTTTGTGTAGAAATACCAGGAGCAAGTGATCACTAGTCTGTAAAAAAGCCTAAAATTTTAGGAGAGCCATTCTAGTGGCTCTTGTGACTCTGTCATAAATGCAGTGGTTTAAAGTATTTTTAGGAGTCAATAGTACAGTATAGTATTGCAATATCTGAAACTGAGTTATAAATAGACGTAAGGTTTAAGAAAGAGCATCACTTGAATCTACAGTTATAATGCAATTAGAGTCTAATCCTTCAAGTTTTGCAACATTAAATCTAATTTCTTCTGTAGAATATGGCAAAGATTTTATCCGGTGGATTATATAGTGCAAGTCTTTATTTCCATCTTGCGACATGATTTCAGGTACTGATGCATATACATACTACTATATAGTGTAAGTGCACATGAAAGGCCACCTTAATTTACATCTATTAGCAATATAAACTGAAGTTTTGGCGTAAAATTTTGACAACGGATTGAAGAGAATATACATTATTATCAAGTATTAGTATCAATTTATGGGTGCTTTTATCATTTTGTATCAGACTCAGTGTAATATTGATAAATTTACCTTTAATTGGTAGCCATTGCTTTCTGTAATGCAATAAGCGTGCATGATATTATCAACAAATCTACATTCAAATGGTGTTGGCTTAAATTGCATCCTTTTAGATCGAACATGGACCGTATTCTTTAAGTCAATTTGGCAACTCCAAAACTTGACGGTCTTATCGTCCGATGCTGATATAATTGTCTTGCCATTAGGGGCAAAGTGGACGGCTTGCGTATAGTCAGTATGCCCACGATAGAAAGCAACTTGTTTCTGATTGCTTAGATTCCAAACCTACACAAAGAAAGAATAGATTCATTGATTGTAGTACAATCTGAGACTATAAGTTATATCATAATCAATTGTGATAAAATCCAATCACGAAAATTCCAAAGTTGTAGAAAATTAGAACTTTATTAGATCTAATACAAAGACTAGCTACACACAGCTCTACTCTAGCCGAATACAACTATTGACTAAGGACATTGTACCGCACTGTAGATATCTTACAGTACCTGCTAATCTTAACTTGGAATGTCCATCGCCGTACATTAGTTATAATTATGTGCTTTGGACCATTAACTAATCTTAATATAGCATTTCATAGCATTTCATCCGTGAATGCATTATTGAAAAGTAGTATTCTACAAGCATAGCTGTGAATGTAGTAGTGCCTGGCTATTACCGGGATATATATAATGTCAAATGGTAATACTATCTGTTAATTATTAACAAATGGGTACATTATCGTAAACCGTCAGCAAAGCGACGTGAGTTTGTACTAGTCTCACTAACACAGCTAAAAGTCTACAATCACAATAGTAAGCTTCGTTACAACAATATAACGTACTATTACAAAGAACACATTCATAAGTTACAATTAATTTAAGTGGTGGTTTGTGGTACGTAAGAAGATATAATTATAATATTAAATACGAGAATTAACCCCAAAATATCAGTATTAACAAGTACCTGTACAGCATTGCTGCCCCTAACGCTGACAGCTAAGTATTTACTATTACAAGAGAGAGCTGATGCAGTTATCGGACCAAAACATTTCAACTGAAATAATGGTTCACCAGTTGCGCAACTCCAAGTGTGGACAAATTGGCGATAAGTGCATAAGATCGCCTGGTCATCATTAAAAAATGCGCATGATGTTATCCTATAGTTTGAATCCTGACGATGACATACACAATCAAGGATTACTTTAGCCACCGGAATTTTCCAAATCTGTAGTGGTCATTCAATAAGGTGTGTGATTAAGATAGACTGAACGATATCAGGCTATAAATCAAATCATGACATTACATTACAGGATCAAATCTCAAATTACTTGATAGACAATGTTTATACAGTAAATTTATCGAGACCTTAATGGTGGAATCAGAGGAACATGATACTAATTTATCGCCACTGTAATTAAAACGGCATTGAAGAACACCGTCTTTGTGTCCTCGGCAGGTGATAATATCTATTCCATTCATACAATCCCAAATCTTTTGAACAAATATTGAGTTATCAATAGCGGATAAAATCACATATCTTTTTTGAATAATAGTTTTAGGTCAATTACTATTATTAAATATTAGCTTATAAATTAAAATAAAAATACGGATACAGTTACTAGTTACCTAATCTTAACGCCTCTATTTTTACATCTAAAAGATTTTTGGACACTCATGGTATACCTATGTTATACGGTTAAAAATTCCTACCCTAATCGTTTTATCTTTGGAACAAGACGCAATGTATTGACCATCTGGTGAAAAATCACACCAATATATTCTATCGGAGTGGTTAGAATACTCGAGGTGTAATCTCTCCATCTCAATATCCCAGACCTATACGTAAACATCATATTTTATAAATTACTAAGTCTAGATACTTAAGTAAAAAATTGTTAGCGGATGCAGTTTTAACATTTTCGTTTGTATCTCAAGCAAGTTCTGAAATAAGTAATTAGAATGGAACAGGATAAGCCGTAAAATCAGATGTATTAGTCTAGAAATATATGGATAAACGCACAACAACAGTTATTAAACAGTGCCATAGTGCACGTATTAGTAATATGAGTATTATCTTGAACTAGACAGTGCGAATAATGCGAAACTTCAGCTGTCTTGGGGAATTTTACAGCATACTCAACAGTTAATTAATTAACTAAAGTGAACAGCTTAGCACGATCTAATGAGCCCTAAAAATTTGTTAATAGTTATGACTATAACACCAATAAGAATGTAGCGTCTCATCCACTTCCATTATTCACAGTTATCAGTAGAATATGTTTACCTGTGCAGTTCCTGTCCACGAGGCAGTTACAACATATCTTCGATTAGGTGAGAAACAACAGCAAGATATTTTATGTACACCATGAAATTGTACAAACACAGCCGTAGAGATTGGATCCCAAACCTTGTTATTAATATTTAAGTAAAGTATCATAATAGCGTAAATCAATATGTTACGTGCGCTTTATACATTACGGCGTACTATTGAAGTGTGATACTTTTTCTCATACAATGCAAATCATGTATTAATTTAATTGTTAACTACATACTTTAATAATACCATCCCATGAAGATGTAACAATCCTTCTACCATCACAGGAATAGCGACAGTCGCTTACTGCACCTTCATGTAGATAAGCAGTAGTGATTGAATCATCACTATTAGTTATTGCCTCTTTATTCCTGTAATATATTCAGCGATGATACGATTTACGCATTACTATATTTTCAATATACAAACTAGAATAATTAGCTAAAAAATTAAATACTTGACTAGGATCATAGATGGGTATTAATCATACTTACATCCATTCAACATAGATTGTCGATGTATCATTTTTGTTTATTAAATCTCTAGCCTTTTTAGAAAATACTTGCCACTCTGTTTTACTCAGGGATAACTGAGCCAAAGTTGGCCGGTCTGTACGAAGTAATATGTTCATATTGGCAGATAAAAATCGATAAAAATGACTCACTTCTTGCCATTCCTAAATCAAATCAAAATGTGCAGTAATACTAAATGTGAATACGAGTTAATAAAAGCTATTATATATAATATTGAAGGTATAGTTAGCAGACGGTAAGTACAATTATAACCACTATTATCAGAATATAATATAACATACCTGATCATTCAGTATTTGGCGACATTTGATGTAGTCATTTAGGACATGCGTAATGGAGGTCATATTTAGTTTAGATTGCAACCATTTTGGATCAGTTAATAACATTTTAATAGTTTTAACTTCGCGAGCAGCGAGTAAGTGAACAATAATATGATTATATATGTAACCATCATCTGCCAATTGATATAAAGCATCGCGACAATTTTCTTTGTAATGAGATATTAATTTACGATGAAATCCAACTGCGTGGGGGTACTTTTCCAATAAATAATGACAGAATACAGAATGAAGTCGATAATATCTATTGCCACTAAAAATAAGGATGTTGTTGTAATCAAGAATAATATATCTTAGAATTAGTGAAACTGATAGCAGTCAAGATTGATGACATTTTATCGGCCAATGCTTCAGGGTGAGAAGAAATGTTTGCTCATTAGCATGATCCCGCGATTTTCCTAGTTATCTTTTGTTTGAGTGGAGATTGAGTCAATAAGCAAACTTTCTTCTTGCCCTGAAACATTGGCCTATTTTGCTAAGTATCTAAGAATTAATGATAGTAGATTGACTAGATTCAGCGTAACCGCATACATAAAAAATTGTTATTCTCCTGTGTAATGAAGTTATTCTAATTGTTCTGTTGTAAAATTCAATTTATACTGCAATACTAACTATGTCAGATAGTTTAGTTCATAACACTAACTCGCTATACCTTACCTTATTGTATCGATTATCTTAATCATTAAACCACCATGGACTAAATTTTCGAACATTTTCTTTATGACTTTAATATCTAAAGACCACAATAATGACACTGCTGTAATCGGAACTTTGTCGCTATTTGCAAATACAACTAACAATTGATAATGGGATCTTTTGGTTTCGTCTAACGATCGAATAATAAAATCTAAAGTTGTTTGAAGAGTTTTGTTATGACCCATTGCGCGATCTATTTTCGATCCTAACGCAAGCAGATGACGATTAACCTCTTGAGAATTGGTTAGGTTTAAAATACGGAGAGAATTTAAACAGATTGGTAGATTATGATAATATTCCAATATACGAGCCATTTTAGTTGTGATGCAGTTTTCTTTTTCCGAGACAGATTCCAAATCGTAAAGAATGATTTCCTTTAGTTCATTTAACTGGAAAGGCTATAATAGTAAGATACAGGATTATGTAATGGTCTGACAGATACTTAAGTTTTGGAACTTCTGGTATTACTATCATGTGACAGATGATTGTTAGTCCGTATGTGAAAGTATTTCGCGGTTATGAGATGTGATTACTGAAGCAGAAATGTTAAAACTTCGGTTTGCAATTAGAGTATTTACAGCATGCAATTTTCGATTCGTTACATTACACCTTAATCGTATCACGACGCAAAAGGTTATTAAGCTGGTACTTACGTACCAATGGGTTTCATTTACCGAGTTACAGAGCTAATAGATGTTTGTTACTAAGTAAATAAGGATTCTAGTTTTCTCGATCTAATTAATTTATCCTATAAGATCTGTTAGTAGCGAAAAACTATGAAATAATACAGTATAACAATAAATATTTATAAATTATTGCTTCTCAGCTACGACAATTCGTTTAGTTACTGTGCTGGTATATGGGTGGCATAAAGTTAGGCTACATGTTTACGTAATATAATTAAGTACTTAGATACTTAATATTTTTAAACTGTTTTTAGGAGTACACTAATTGTATTAAAATCAAATCAATTATCGTGAAATCAATGAGACTGACAAACTATCATACCAATATGATTGTAGACTCTTATCTACGCAAATAAATATAAAAATGTTCTCAGCTAGCCTGTTCAGAACTCCTAATTCGATAAATACAACTACTGTAGATGAGCGACGTGCAATGTTATGTGTAGGAAGACAGTAAGGATAGTGTTAAAGATAAGATATTATTTGGAGAAATTATAACGCACATGAAGCAGTATACGATGTGAGCGATAGCAAAGTAACTGTAACTTGTATGCCAATTACATAACAATAGTGAGATATCGGATACAGTATGTAAGAAGCTAGCACTGAATAAAGTAGAGATTTCTGTTGGCCTAATTTTATATTTTTAGAAACTGTCCTCAGCTGGATACATAACATGCAACAAGACGTACACTATGTGATACCGTAAGCACATCATTAATCTGTAACTTAGGAAAGAAGTTTACTGGTTTGATGACCGATCCATCAGCTAATATAAGTTTATATTGTAATACCTCAACTTCGAACAAATTAGGTGATTCGTAAGTATTATCAGCAATATCAGGCTGACGTGAAGTAACCAGCGTTGCGCAATGGAAGTCGAAGCATTTAATGAAATTTTTGTCTAGTACGTCATCTAAAACCAAGAGGATGCCATTGTATCGCTCAGCTGCTTATTCGTTCAAGAGGAAAGTCATAGACGGTAAATAACAATTTTTTAAAATTATTCATTTCAAAGAAGTAATAAAACTGTTGTATTAAATTATTATGCATCATCAAGATAAATTAAAGTCGTAATAAAATATCGACCGTACTAGTAAAATTTTACCGATGATGCAAGATATTTGATTTTTACATTCCTCTATAGTTGACGGAAGACGAGATTCATCATTTGAAATCGAGGTGAGTAGGTGTTGCATTTGAAGCAAGATTTCTGCAGAATTTGAATTACCTACAATGAATGGAGACAATTAAAACATTATAATCTTTCATAAATAGCAGGTACAAGTTAAGATTAAGCAATAATCATTCTCACAGTGAGCTGGATTTTATATTATTTCGAAAAACAGGTATTGGTCGTACGAATTTTAAAAGGCGTTTAGAATGCGTAATACCAAGCTACAAAACCTTATACTTATAAAAATAATGTCGATTTTCGGACTGTAATGATGTACTATACTTTCATTTAATTTTGATCCTTTCTGACTAGAAAAAGCAATCTACTAGGTATTATTTGAGTGAATTTAGCCCTTAATGTGAAAACCAATTATATTAGTGATTTTCTTGTTACAATTATTGAATTTTATAGGCAAATTTACGTTATTTAAGTTAATTAATTTAGCCTAGCTATCGATATGAAGTGGTAGTAGCAATGAAAAAGTCCTGATATTTACTAATAATAATTGATCTAGAATTAAGATAATAGTATTTGCCCATAAAAAATCATTCTAGATGGGGTATATTGGACAAACTTAGGAAGCTATGATTTTTAAACTCGTGAATACTTAAAGTTGTTAAACGAACCGTGTTTTTACTAATAGCAAACCCTGCATTGCGTAATAATCTCAGTTTTAGGGGTCTTCATTTCTCTAAAGTTTTCTATTACATTTCATAAGCATCTTACAGTTGTAATTTAAATAAGTGGCTTCTATCTCACAAAGTTATTCTGTTAGATTTCACAATATATAGTAGAAACATGATCTTAGCTAGTAGATTAACAAATCATTATCTCCTTGTCTATTATGCAGTTATATACTAATATACTTCTGTCTAGAGCTTCAACTTAGCGAAGGGGCTACAATTGCATCAAATCACCTAGTAAGTAGTGACGTAATTATCTCAGCTATTATACTGTCGTAATGTTTACCAGCTTACCAATAGTTTATTACTTACTTAGCTTTATCCAGATGACACCTCCTTTATGCAATTTGTTAGCCAAACTGAGATCGTTTACAAATAGAGTCAAATAAGCTGCAGTAGTCTTTCCACAACCAGCTTCACCATGGACAACAACGCACTTTCTATTTTTAAGAGCTATTTGAAGTAAACCGCTTAATTTTTTGCTTATTTTTTCTCGAGCTACTATATTATCAGGTAGCACTGGTACTTGTCCAATCACAGGTATCTTATGTGATTCTGGAATAAAATTAAAAAGTCCACAATTGAAGGCTGATATATGTACAGTATTGTAAAGAATAAGTAATTACAATTATAAAGTAAGTTAGATGAGTATGTAAGATTTAATATTAATCGTCTGTAACTCTTAATATGGTTGCGTAAGATTTAACTAATGTGAGAGAGCATAGCCCACATCATAGCCCTAAATTTAGCTAGTAAAGTTCGCGTATCATGATAGAATATTGTGCCATTAGTGGAAGTATATAAGCACAGCTTAATGAATAAAATGATCGATTTTTACTAGCTACTCTCGGAGTAATTATCCTAAGATGATAACATAGATACATAACAAAAGCATACATATTTTTACGCATAAATCCTGTAATAAATGAGCATTATCATAATTATCTAAATAATCTTAAAACTATAGCAATAATAACATATTAGTATAGCGATTGCAATTTATTAAGTAATTTTTAATCGAAGAATCCACGTACTGACTCATTTCTAACATTAATCTGCAAAGGACATATACCATTATCCTTAGTATAGGGTTTGCCTTTAGTTGTTTGTTTCTATTCAACAGGTGGTCAATGTTGTAAGCTGCATATTGTAAGATCTCATGTAATTAAAAGAAGTAACTTACAAAACCTTTGATTTTATAACGATACTACAAGTATGCTTTCCAAGGTACCAAATAGAATAGATTAATCATTTTCAGTATTTACTTGAAATAAATATTTTTTAAATGCTATAGAAATTGATTATGAATTTCTTATTTGTTGGTATTCATTTTATACTGAAGTAGGCGGAGGTGCGTTCATGATAGTGATTGAGTGAAAGTGACTTAATAGTAGTTGATAAGAGTAGGAGAATAAAAACTGCTGTAATGCAGTCCTAACTAAAATTTAGCAAAAGAAGTTTGTTGTTGGGATTAAACAGTTTTTAGTGACAATTAACTGCAAAGTAGTACTCCAGTATACAGTATACATTAATTTACAGTTACGTATCGATTCTTTTTATAAATTATTAGCGCGCAAAGCATATGGAGTTGTATAGATACATCCCTGCTGCGAATGGAGTGTAATTAGCGGTAAGTAATGCTTATTCTACCATACTTTAAATAAAAATAAAAATGAGGAATGTTATATATAATTTACGAGCTAAGGAAAAATAAAAAAAGTTAAATGAGTATTAAATATACTTGGCTTGGGTACATTTTCGCCGACGAACTTCACTCGTTCAATGTAGTTATTATAATATGGTTATTCTAATGATCTATCCGTTAGTATAGTAAAATGTCGTAGACTAAAAATATGAAGAAAGTAATATTTTATTTCTCTTGTTAATTCCGGACAATGCAGAGAAGATGAGAAATCGAATTTAATTATGCTATGGTTAAATGGTTTGTATACTGTAGTTCATATTCATCTTAAACTTTGAATAACAAAATCTGATTTTTTATGTTGTATCAATATAATTTTGATTCTACATAGTATCTAACAGGGATACTACTGGTATATATACGGTAGTGGTTGCACGAGAAGGATAACTAGGATTTCCTATCAAGAGCTCTCACTGTACCTTCACCTAAAAAGCCAAACGCTGAAAATTTCTTTTTTTGTTGTATGCCTGCGTCTTCCAGTTTACCAGTTCGTAAAGACTGACAGTGTTCTTCTAATTCATTTGCTAATTTTTGAATATTCAGTTGATTTATTTCTCTTAAAATGGCTACAACGCGTTTAAAGGTATTTTTATCTTGTGCCTGAAGAATTTCATTTAATTTTGTTTCATTTTTATCAGTGCTAATTGCGGTGTTGTTTAGAGCGTACAGATCGTGATTATCACTAATATTCATGCCACTTAGCGCGTTCTGGATGAATTCAATCGGAACTGATTGGCATATTCGTTCCTTGTAGTCTTCTATTGCTTGTTTCTCGAAATTATCCATGTTTCAGTTTACGATCACGTATGAATAAGTTAATCTTTTAATGATTATGTACAGTAATTGAGCATATTAAGATAAATTTTCTAGCATATTAGCGCAATGTTTTCATATTTTGTTACGGTATTCTATAACTGTAATTAATACTGAGATTAGGGTTTATACATAGAAGAGATGGATAACATTGAGGACTGTATCCTTGGTGACACGGTGTTCTTGACGTACTGTACAGTACGCTACAGTACTGTACACACAGTACAAAGTAAAATTTGCTAGCGTACTGTACAGTACTGTACTGTATACGAATGTACTGTAAAGTACAGTATCATGGACACTAGAAAAAGTCCAGGCTTTTTCTAGTTGCTCATAAAGCATACAGTATACTGTACACTACATTATAATATCAGAGTCTGGCATCACTGTCATCAGCACTAATTAATTATAGGTTTAATCAACACAGTAGTTATAATTAATTAATCAACTGTACTGTACAGTGTACACTGTGTACAGACAGTATAATTCCATTTTAGCATAATCTACTTTTTACATTGAAAGGGTGCTTGGAGATTTACAGTTAATTAATTAATTTATTATTTTATAAAGAAGTAAAATAAAAGAATGGTTGCAAGGTCATCTAAAACGTCTGAAATAGCAACTTTACGAACTGATGGAATCTGTAGTGCTCAAGAAAATTCTATAGATGATCAAACATATCAATATAGGTATGGATGGGGTTGTTTCCATCCTCAGTATATTCAGCTATTCAATTCTCAGAAATGGTTAATGGCTTTTATCGGCATTTATATTTTCATTTCCGGTATTCAAACTACCGGACTTGGAGGTGTCGTTATTACATCACTGGAAACTCGGTATGAATTACGTAGCGCTGAGACTGGCTTGTTTACTAGCTCATATGAAGTAGCCGCAGCGATTTGCGGCCTAGTAATTAGTTATTATGCTGGTCAAAGACATAAGGGAAAATTTATTGCAACGGGATCGGTAATGGCAGGATTAGGAGCGGTTGCATTTGTATCACCGCATTTCTTTAGTGGCAAATATAGCCCTATCAACAGTGAAATTACCAGTAACTTATGCTTTGAAAGTTTAAATAAGAGTATCGCTTCTAATACATCATCAGTTTGTAATTCCTATATCGCGTCTTCAGCAAGAAACTACTTATACATATTTATCGCTGCGCAAGTAATCATCGGTACCGGTAACAACTTGATGTGGAACGTTGGTATGGCCTATGTAGACGAAAATGTTGATCCTGTTGCTTCTTCTGTCTATATTGGAATTATGGTGACGTTATCAGCAATTGGTCCCGCTATTGGCTACCTACTAGGAGGGTTACTTCTGAATCTATGGGTTGATTGGCCAGATCCTTCTGATGGTGGGTGCTTCTACTACAACCACTTGAAACTATAGTAGATAGATATGAATGCATGTAATATTCAGAACTGGTCGTCTACCCATTTGTGATACTAGTAAAAGTTGTACTGTATATGTGTAGTTACAGGCATGGCAAGTTGCAATGCTTTCAATATATGAATTTCATAGAGCAATAAAGTTTTATGACCGCATAGTAATACTGTATGCAGCACATGAACTATAGTTTAATCAGTTGAAGCATGGATTTAACGGGTGTAGAGGATTTTAACGTGGTGACGCCATAAAATAATACTGTACAATGCATTGCCTAGATGAAAAGGTATTGCAAAATTTGAATTGACCGTCGATTATATTAGTATTTCACCAGTTACCATACATCGATGCCCGTGCTGTAGATTTTCCACTCACGTCGCAGATCGAGGTAACAGTACGGTATTTCAGTGCTAAACTTGCACATTTGCTACGCTTCATTTTATCTATAAGTACCATACAGATGCGCTATAGCGTAACTTAACATGCATGACTGTTTATAAGTAACTAATAATCGGGTAACAACTGATACTTAAATTACTGCTGTTATTCTCTCAGTCGTAATTATACGAGTATATTATATAGTGCTTTTAAATTAGTCACCGTAGTGTTTGACGTAGGTATTATTACTAGAATGTTTCGTTTGCTACAAATGAATTTAACCGCTAAAGTACGTTGGATAGCATATTACATTGGAGATTGAGTACAAGAATTTTATTATTTGTAATATTAGCGCCTATTTATTTATCATAGAAATTAACATACGGTATTCTTATTATTTGAAAGGTGTAGCACCTGATGATCCTAGATGGGTTGGAGCTTGGTGGCTCGGATTCCTGGCATGCGGCACCGGAATGCTGATTATTTCTATCCCTTTGTATGGTTACCCTCCCTATTTACCGAATTACGCTGTATTTAAAGCTAAGAGGCTAGCAATGGCGAAGGGGAAGTCGAAAGTTGATAAAGAATATGGAACCTCTATCAAAGATCTGCCGTTGGCTACCAAGGAGTTATTTATGAATTTACCTTGCACCTTCTCTATTCTAGCGGCTACTTGTGAAGCCACGACGGCAACAGGATTTGCAGTATTTCTGCCTAAGTTTATTCAATCTCAGTTCGGGTTGACATCATCAACTGCAAGCTTGATTGCAGGATCCATCGTTGTCCCAGGAGCTGGTGGTGGAATGCTAGCTGTAAGAAAAATTTCAGTTTGTGAAAATAGTAAAATCATTTGATAATAATTATGCTATGACGCAGTACCCAGGAGTCAGTAGATTCGCAGTTCAATAACTTTATGTCCTCAGTCTGTGAAACGCAATTTTGCAAATTGTAACTAATGCTTGGCATAACACTGTATTGATAGGGTGGATTTATCATGAGATATTATAAACTTGATGGATTAGCAGCTGCAAAGCTTAATGTCATATTTTCTGGGCTAGCTACAATTTCCGTTTTATGTTTTGCGTTGAGCTGTGGCAACGTACCATTTTCTACTGTTGGACTCGATCGAAGCGTGGTTGCTGGATCGTTGTGAGTTACTAAATAATTAAGTAGTCGTTACATCTACTAGTTACATTTTTATGCACTAATTCTTCTGAAAGTAGGATAGCTTAGAAAGATTTGGTTAGGAGGTGTATTTTCTTTGATATCGAATATAAATTTCTTATGTAATATTTAATTTAGGGAAACGCAGTTCTTACAGGAAAATTCCGCTACAGTTTGTAATTATCAATGTAAATGTTATGATAGCTTTGAGCCACTTTGTGGCAGTGACAAAATTACCTATTATTCACCTTGTTTTGCTGGATGTACAGAAATAAATAGAAATCAGGTGCGTAGTTGCTCTTATTAGTGTGTAGGAAGAATGATTCTAAAATTAGTAGTTCAGTACTTATTTAGTGTCAAAATCTTGTTAATTGTATGGTTTTATATTTTTTTGTAGACCTTTTCGAACTGCAGTTGTATGGCCACTGTCAGTAATATTTCATCGTTATCTAAATTTAATACTTCACAGCATGGGAACAGTGGTATTTGTCCTCTTGAATGTAATAATATGATACCTTTTCTAGCAACCCTGTTTGTTTTAATGATTTTCACGTTCTTGAAAACTGTTCCTACGCAGCAGGTTCTACTAAGGTGAGATAAAAGTTGTCTCAAATATCTATCCATGTAACCGTTATAGGTATTCTGCAATTATGAGAATTTAATATCTTCATATGGATATTTATCGATGCTGTATATCTTTTGGTAGAGATCGTTTAAAGATTTAATTTAAGATATTAAGTTGCGTAAAAGTCTACTTTTGCATTATAAATTTCTTTAATTTGTGTGTATATTAAAAAATCCTTGTACCACAGTAAACATACGCAAAAGCATACGTTGTCGTGCGCAGTAGAGTATGCCATGATAGACTAGAGCCTCTAAAATATAAGAAATTCCTAGAATTATAGTATCTAAATTTAGTGTAAATAAGAAATTAAAAACTATCAGAGCATGAAAGTTGACGTACTATTCGTTATCTAATAGTTACGTTTGTAAGTACTGTACTGCGTCGACGTTTATACTTTATATACTGCATAAAAATATTAGCAAGAGATTAAACATTTTATAGCCTTCTGTTCACCGATTAATTATAGCTCCTATTCGTTCATAGATGTGTACCTGAGAGTCAGCGATCGTTTTCACTCGGGGTACAATGGCTTTTTCTTCGACTTCTGGGCAATGTTCCTGGGCCAATCATCATGGGATCAATTATTGACAGATCATGCATTCTTTGGAGTGTAACATGCAACCAAAGGAATAATTGTTGGCTATACAATAACCAACAAATGAGCCGTCTTATCCTGATTCTTGGAATTACTTTTAAGATCTCTACTACAATATTTTACCTTATAGCATGGCATTATTATAAGGCCGATATTCAGGAGGATCAATGTCCTCCTAAAAAAGAAACTACCGTGTAAATATTTTTTAAATAACGGAAATATTAGTGTTCTGTGGACTTGAAAATTTAAGTGTTGAAATGTTTACGCGCCTGATGTAGATTTCGCGCGTATACAAGAAAAGAATGAAATATCACTCTTGAATCAGTAATTAATACGCTAAAATTTATCGTTAAAAATTATGTATACCACTTTTACTATTACATTATTGTGACGATATAATTTCAAGGTTAGTGTAAAGTAAGTTGCAATATCACTTTTATCTAACAATTAAGGTTTAGCAAGGATTAGTGAGTTTAACATCTTTAAGTTTTTATTTACTATGTTTAAATAGTTTTATCTGTAGAGAAGTAACTACCGTAAAAATTACTCACGTCACCTTACTTGTTGGACCATGAACTTATAAATAATTATTACATTGCGTAGGAAACAGTGAATTACATATATATATATTGTCAATGGTTTGATTAGAGTACCTTTTTAGAGTTTGCGCTCTGTGTAAATAATGTATTACCCGAGAAATTCGAAACGGTGCGACCTTGAGGTTGGACATACAATGTACAATAGTAACTGCACATCAATGAAATTTCTAACGTCTTGTTGCAAAATTCTAATAATATTAACTGGATTCGCTTGCAATGCATATTTGTATGTATGTTTACAGTATCCTCATTCATAAAACAAAATTGATCCTCTCCAAATTATTGGTTAATTTACTAGCAAATAGATGCCAGGATAGTATTCGTGAATTAACGGAGGAATGTAGTATTGTATTATGCGCACAAAACAATAATAACAAGATATCTTAGGCCTGAATCACATTTTATCTTGTGCAGTCTGTTCCATTTTGAGGTAAATCACGCAACCACATGATTCTCTTTGCGAAATATGATAATATAATCATTTCTTTTTCTGGTTAAATTCTGGGAAAGGCTACTGTGATTAAATCTTATTCCAGTATTAATTTAACTTATCTGCCATAGCGTGTACGCAATGCACTATGTATGGTAATACAGTGTCTTGATATTAACACTGACGTAATATCGATATTAAACTCGGGTGCAATCACTAATATAATCGATAAGCAACCAATGATGAAGAAAGAAGTTAGAGGAAAAATGAAATTAAGATCTTGATTGACTTTGATTTGAGAAGAAAAACCGCTTATCTTAATTTATCATAAAATAGCAGAACTTGTGCAAGTTCAGTTATGGTAAACGAAAATTCATAACTTAGAATCGGATTAATACCGGCGTATGAAAGCAAAGAATGCGGTAAAAATTTTTGCTGTAATCATAGAGCTACCAACAAAAGAAAAGCTAACGCACGATTAGCCTTTGCATGCAGGATAGTACGCGAAATATCACGAGCGAAGGTTCGACTAGTATACTCGTACAGTAGTTAATTATTCCGCTTTAGTCATGGCCATTTAAAAGTCTTCGGATACCTATATGTAATGTACTGGAGACATACAGTACACTGAGTGTGAATAGTTATTGCCGCAACACTATTTCTAGGGATTGAAATATTAGACAATAATTCGATATACTGTAGAGCACGTACAGTATGTTTGAGAGCTATGATATTTATATCTAATAATATAATCTAACTTGCATATTTTATTACACAAACAACACCGTCTTGTATCATCCATCGTAGGTATGTTAATTCAATGTTCTACCTTTTAAAATTTTAACGTTTTCTTGCCGTATTTGCTATATTAAGTAATGATTACATTACATATAACTAAAGTACTAAAATTAAATAATTAACAGTGCATTTATTACAGAATTTAGAGATTACTGATATTCTTCCTTTGCTGTATAACCATTTTCCCTCGTAGTTTATCGCGGTTATTAGCAGTGGTAGTACTATGCTTGGCAGCGCGTACAATTCCACGGTATTGCCCGGCTAGCTTTAATCGTTTTCTTTTGTTCAGATTCTGCTTATTCATTGGTATATACGCATAGGGCTCGTATCTGTTCGCTGACATCATATCGCCTCGCGCCTTCTGCACGTACGGATAAAGATAGCTATTGTGAGTGTATATAGCCGTTTTAAAGTTTTGAATAATTCTTAGAGCATACCTTTGATCTGTATCCTATGCCAATTGAAGGGTTATTTTTCTTTATTTTTTTATTGAAAGGGTCGCTGGTTGTATCGTACCTAAATGANACTAGAACAAAATAAAAGTACATTATTGAAGCCAAAACTTGTCATCCATAACATCTGATATTGGCCTGTATCAAATGGCAGGGATGTGACCAAGGTGTTGAGAGTAAATTTGCAGTTATTAAATTTAAATCTAATTACGTAAAAATCTTTTAATTAAATTCTTACTTAAACTGAAAGATTAGTTCTTACCTTCACTCTTACGGTCATTATTGGCATCTATTGTAACGCTAGCGATATCAGCCAACCTTTTCCGCTTGGGAATCCTCTGTAATAAAATGAAAGTATTATGGGCGACGTCACATCAACAGATATGAATAAATTTCTTAGCATTACCAATTCAGATATTGAATTACTAGCATCCAATGATCCTGTTACCAATTAAAATAACTTCAATTATTCATTTTGCAGAGATATTCAAGGGCGAATAGCAAGATTATAAACAAGCAGAATACCCTTGCTATAGGATGCACTCAAAGGCTTATCATCGGTTTCAGTTACAATAATTTTGCCATCTTCACTAACTTTAAATTTCTTTTTGGATGGATATAGGTGATCTTCCTTGATAAACGACTTAGGGTCTGTGACTATAGGAACAAACGAAAACGTATTTTAAAGCACTGTATTACCAGCTCATGGCATCCGCTAAAAAGTTTACGAGACTTTTAACCTAATATCTTCTGGTTTACAGATGCATCTAGAAAATCAATTGGCCCTTCGTATTCACTTTCGTTTATCCATGCAGCCTTTCCTTTCACGTTCAGCTTAACGATATTAGCAGAAATTGATTACTATTAAGGCGCGATTCAAATAGATTATATATACAGTACCAGTATCTTTTATTTAACCTTATTTTTTGTCCTAGCCCTCTTTTCTGTCTTGGTATCGTTGACGTCGTCATCTTCCGAATCATTCAATAAATCTTCAAAACTATCAAAATACAAAAAGTAACAACACTGAGATATCCAATGAATCAAAATTCCGACGTTTACATTTGCACTTTGACGCTGACGATTTACCTTTGAATTGAGGTACTCTTAACGTTCAGTTTGCATTCCTGAAAAATAAATAAAAATTTATTTTTTATTGAAAAAGTAGACCTATTATGAATGACTAGGTACTTTTAATACCTTAGGATTGTTCTTATTTCTTGAATGCAATTTTTTTCTTTTCGCTCGATTACACGCTTTCTTTATGTTGTTAAGTACTTTTTGACAGTTTTCAGGGGCCAGCTTAGTGATAATGTCGTAACTTAATTTACCAAATGCAGAAAATCATTACGAATAACTATGATAGTGCTGCATCAAATAGAAAGTGTTCATACATAGCACATTTCTACCTGAATTTTGTAATCATACGCTGAAATAAGATTTTCGTTTTGAATCTAAAGTGACGCTTTATATCCGAACTCCAATCAGCTATAGCTTGAATCTGCAAGTAGTAAAATGTAGAAATTTAAACAGCTATTATAGCACACTATGTTAATAATTACTAATATATTTTATCAAGCACTACGATAAATTATAGAGTAATCTTACAATCATTCCCAAATATGGCATTACCACATCGCGAGGGAAGGCAACGACTATTAACTAAAATTATAGAGAGAAAAAGTCAGAACAAGTTCACTTCTTTGGCACTTAGCATACCAAATACAGCAGGTCGCCAAAGGAAATATATTAATTAGTGATACCTTGACAAATCCCAGGGCAGACTTTATTACCTCCCGTGATTTTGATTGTAAGACTATTATTATAGTATTAACTAAGTTACCAATCAACGGTCTAGGAACTATTTCTACCGAGAAGAATAGTCATATGATTGAAAGCAATTACATACTAATTGATTGTATAAAGGCTCTGAATTGATTTCCTACACTAATTAGCTACAAAGCAATATTACCTCTGAATTCGTAAACTATACATGAAATGGAATTTATAGTGGCACAAATCATTAGAGTTGATCCTGCCATGCCGGGCAGCATTAATTTCACATATGTGATTAAGTTATCTACCATATTAGAATTGTTGGAATAAGATCATCCTGGATTAGAAGTGAGCTATTGAAAAGGGAATATAAAGTACTGCTTGCACGTGTACCTTTTTCACTGCCATTAGTCAGCCGATTTATAGCTCTCCCCATTTCTACAATTAATGCATAAGCGGAATGTCTAGCTTTCGTAGAGACTTCCTTGGTACACCATATTGCCTGTATAACAAACAAAGGAATAATGAAACAAATAGATACTTTATTAGCAAATGATAAATGAACGATATAAGTACGAGTATACCTCTGGGAGAACAACTTTTACGTAATCGAAAAGTTGCGAATCGTTCAATTTATGACATAGTAATGCTAAACATTTCAAGCGTGGCTTGGTAAATCAACAGGCAAGAACAGGTTAGTATGTACTCGCTTTCCATAACCTAAATAAGTATTAGACTGCATAAATTAAAAATTACAGATTTTGAAGAAACAGAGCAATCTGGTAAAGATTCGAGGAGTAGTGAACGGATACTCATAACGTTTTTAGATATAAATTTGATTGAATCCGCGGATTTACAACTGCATATTTCTTCTAATATCTTATATGCCTTTTTTTGAACCAGGATATCTTCATACTAAGCAGAGTTTTAAACATTATTTTACACGAGATTTCGTAAGACATAAATAATAGTAGTTAAATTCTTTCATTCACCTTTAGATAGTGAATAATGCAGCCATACAGATTGTTGATTGCAGCTGTATCAAGCACTTTAATCATCATAGCAGCTAAGTCGAGAAGAGATCGCCTAAAAATTGTATATTTATATATATTGTATCAATTTTCGCTGGCAGCTAGTGTAGAATGTCTATGATGTGAAGGTAAATATTCGTACAAAATGTGGATAGATACATCAGAGGATAACTGAACTTGCAATTTGGCATAGAATTCATTCACTAGCTGTAAGAATAGATCACTTAATTTAGTCGATTATAATTATTAAAGCAGTAGTGCCCATAGCCAATTACCTCTTTGCTGGCCAAAAGTAAATAAACTCCAATAGTTTCAGTAACGTACAGGCATGATGATTCTTTATTTTCACTGTAAATGTTGAATAATATAGGAAGATAATTTTTGGCGTACTCTTTAAGAATCAGCTTTTCTTCATCTATTTGTTATGGAAAATACAGATTAGATTAAGGTAGTAATGTTACATGGCATCTAAGCACGGTTTTTGTTTTACCGTTTTTACAGCTTGTTTGAATGAGCAATCTGATAGCTTGGCAAACAATTTGACTTAATTCCTTGTTGGTTAACGCTTCACCCAACGTTCGCGCAATTGATCTAAACGTCTATAAGACATGTACCAATAAGTATCTCAACAATTTAGAACTGATTTAATATTTTGGCTAATCTGTTTAATTATCTTATATACATTCACGACGTCCGTAGTATTTGTACAAAATCCAGGCAAAAGAGACCAGATCTGAAAGATTTAGTAAAGTTGGGGATACCCAAATATTTACAAGTACATATATTAAAATATTCGCTAGAACCGAATTTAAGGATACCTGGATGAATAGGGTTTTATAGACAGTAGCCTGTAACTCATGGCCATTATTTTTATACTCCATTGCTTTAACGAATGTAATCAATTTTATCGTGAGTTAGTATTTAGCGAGGGCATGCATTGTTCTTATATATTAATAAAGTAAAAGCGGTTCCGCTAACATTTCTGTTTCATCATGACCGCCAGCGGTAACATTGTATCTTGAAAGTACGCCAATTCAGTGTTGCAAATGTTATCCCTCAGTAGAGGAATCATCCATGATCGTGGAAAATTACAATGATTACTACAGACAACAGTGCATAAATGGAAACTCAGGTTGACAAAGTACATAAATGTTTGGGGTTGTAAAAAATTAATATCACACATACATACTTGTGCTCTTCCAGTTTTAGTGGTGCTACACTAAGTACACTCCTGTTAAGATATAAAATAAATTTTATTCAGCAGTACGTAAAAATTCATCGGCGAATATTCAGACTATAGTTAGATAACAGGAGAGTAAGTGCAAGTAATTAAACCTAGGTCCCATAGTTTTTATTGCTGTTGCAATAGTATTTTCGACGTCTTTCTTATACGGCGTCCAAAAATCCGTATACATATTGCAGATAGAGGGTAACAACTGAGTGAAGAAGAGAGATCATATTCTTAATTATTTAGGTTAACTTATATCCAAATATTTGTTTAATACCCACTCTCTTAGATAATTCTTTGCATTCTTTCCCTAAAACCTGCCAAAGTTCGAAATTTTAAGATTATTGAATTGTAAATAGCCACATGAAAGCAATTTACCTTTAGATATGATACCACTACTTGTAGAATATAATTCCAAGAATTCTGATATTTATACTTTAAGCCTGATTCAACACATCTACATTGAAATAGTAATTTAATATTAATTACTGGCACGTAATAAATTATATACAAATAATGCAAAGTTCGTCTTTGCTTCAAGCAAAAGGAGGAAATGATTTGCATTACCTCATTAGTTTATGTGCCGGAGTATTTTCATCAGTATGTTCTGATAACAACGCACTAACAATATCCTCGGACACTGGAGGGACGCATTCCTCTAACACAGTCTGTTAGTAGTAAGATAAATTATAGTGAAGACCTTAGCATTCTAAGTAGGAAATGATATGAGCTGGCCTAAAGCGTACCTTAAGTACGCGGGTTGTTGATGATAGTATACGTTCATTCTTAGAAAGAAAGTAAGGCATACAAGCGGAAAATAAGGGAGGCAAGCCAATAAATCCCATTTCGCAATTGAGTCTAGTACCAAAAAATGTTTACATATCCATTAATATACTTATTTATAAAACTTTTATTATTATATTAATGTTCTTAAATAGAAATAATTGTAAAGAGCATCAAGTAGTTCCTTACTTAGAGCGACAAATGGCACCCTGCATCATAACTGTTAGCCAAGCAACTGTAGGTTCAATATCATTCTCGTTCGGGCGGTATTCATATAGTACCTGATTACAGTTGTAAGGGTTGAAATTATCGGCAGAATGAGATTTAGATATCCACATTTTATAGAGCTGAAAGAACTAGAATACGCCATTTGTATCCATAAAAAGTGAGCAAATTTATGGTGTGGTATTAAATACACTTATGCTCAAGTTCTGTACCATTATGATCTGGCTAGATAATTCGACGGTTAAATTCGAAGCATCATTGACGGATGAAAATAATGAATAAAAGATTTCCAAGCATACAGTAGTACGTATCTACAAAAAATATATATTTAAAATACTCGTAAACAAACGAAAAGAGTGCACTTTTGGATACTTTGACAATTAAATATAGTTAGGTACTATAGCAAAATACACTTGATAATCATACGGATAAGTATTTTACTTATTCTAAAATTAAACTATCAAAATTTGTTTAAAATGCATTGATTTTGCCTAATAATAGTAATATTATTTATTCAAGTTGTTTTGATTTAACCGACCGTATCTTTTTTCAGCATAATTTTCAGTAAATTTTCAGCAAAGATTTTTATATACTGCAATTAAAAAATTATATTAAATGTACAGCAGTATCATTTGCAAGTTTAAGCACTTTTAAGGACAGTTAACAGTATGAATCAAGGAAATTGCAAGAAACAAGTATATTTAATATTTATTAACAGTAAGTAAAAACCTGAATGGAAAAGTACGGCAAAACTTCCTTTAATAGATTCATTACGTAAATGGAGTTACTGCCCTGTTCAGTTCCTCCTGATGATTGATTGGGCAATCAAAAACAATTAATATTTGATTACTTGTCTTAGTTCGCTGCCAATGTTTAATTAATAGAATACTCAAGGAGAATTGACAATAATCGGCACTCAGAGCTAAACTTGCCTTCCTCTAGGGATTTAATACAAAACTGACGACAACATTGGATGCAGTTGTTATTTCTATATTTCACCAGGGAAATTACCGCAGCTTGAGCTGTTTTTCTAATCTATAGATATACACCGATACCATAATACAGTATACGTAAGCTGCTAATCGCTATAAAAGTACCTTGAAAAGGAAACTTGTAGCACAGTCATAGTTAAATATTTGCTATTTCTAATTACTTTTGGTTTAGCATGACTAGTAAAACCAAGTAATATCTCAAACGATCGAACTGTAGTGGGGAGACTCCAAACAGTTGCTTCCTGAACAATTAGAAATCCCTGCAGACACCGTAATAGCTGAAATATAGTAAAATATCGATTAAATTATTATTTGAAAAGTCAGAAACAACTTCGTAAGTCAATTATTTTCAGGTGGTAACAACAATCACAACGTTCTCACTCCGAAAACATTTCACTTACAATGCATATTAGAATTCAGTTAAATTATTATAATTATCTTTATACTATCGATAGATCCATATCAAGTAGAATTAGTCACAATCTTTTAAATTACATCCAGGTTTAATATTTGGCTTAAATCTACGCTGATTACACTAGAATAATGGATTTTAATTGCATATATGCACTAATCACATACCGATTTAACTAGCGAAGAATCTTCTGAATCCATATGATCAATTAGCAGGGTAGTTATAATTCTGCTAGCAGCTGGAAATTTGGCAAGTAATATACTGTCTGGTAATCTAAAAAAGATCAACTGATTACTGTACAGAGTTTAATAATAGAGATTTCAGGTCTAATTAAATTGGTCAGCTAATGTTGAATAAGCAGCGACTCATAACTTCAAAGATATACTTAACAGTACTTCGTGATAACCAGTCGCAGTAAATAAGCTGTTGCTGTTAGAACTTCTATTTCAGAGGAAGATTCAAGAGTAGTCATCTAGAAAGTATTAAGAAATCGACCTTCACTATTATTATTAATTATAATACTGTATTTATCAACAGAGTTATAATATGGTGTTGTGGATGTCGGTTTGCCTCAATAACAACTTACCAAAGCTGCAAAATATTCCACATTCGATTCAGTACCACCCTGATTCTTTATAACCTAGTTTGGCGAAGGCATGGTAAGACAAGGAATATCATAACGATATTTCAGTAATATGTTAACATCATACGGATTTGTCATTTTTGGTCGACTTATTACAGCAGACGTACTGCACTGTACGTTAAGTCGTTTGCGTATTTACCTCGGTTACAGCAGCCAGGATCGCAAAAATCTACGGAATGCGCAAAAGATTGATAGTTAGGGTTAATAAAGGAAATCAGGAAAATAGTGCTCTAATTTCTACGTACTTGTACAGTATAGTATTACAGCATAATTAAGGAACAAACTGAAGCGCAAAATAAGTAGAGCTCAGATATTTCAACAATAACAATTATATGGGTTAAAGCAAGTTTACTAATTAATTAATGGCTAAGCTGTACGGTACCACATATAAAATAAAATAGATAAAATCGCTGCAGTTATGCCTTTTGTTATACGTAATTATGCTCGTATAATGAATTATAAGTTTTACGCGTCGTGATGGACCTCTTTGTGGCTAGTAAGCTGGGAGTTGAAAAGTCGATTTACATCTGCAAACATTTGATTGGTATACTGACTGCGGATGGTCATTTTTTCCGTTGAGTCATCCTGTACCGTGTCAGCATCGTCGGCAGTTGCGGGGAGGGAAGTCATGAGTTCGTTCATCTTGTCATGTATATTTAAGTCTTCCTTGGACAGAGTTGGACTTGATTGATGCCCACTGGTCTCAGATGATATACTCCTTAGAGATGCACGAGCTAAATTACGAAAAGTTTTCTTTTCTGGATTACTAACGCAACTATGTCCTCTCAAAGTCCGTTTCTCCTGCCTTTTCATCTTAATACTAGTTTTCATCTTATTTATGTATTATTGTTGTCTTCCTTGGACCGTCAGGGACCCAAAAACCACGCGGAAAAGTTGATGCTATTGTACCTTTTACGTGCAGTTTCAGAACATGAGATTTCACTATTAGTGTACACCAGCAAGTGTCATACAGTACACGTACAGTACAGTACACACATGCCTTAGTCTTAGTTACAGTTACTTACAGTACAGTATACTGTACTGTACGGTACTGTCAAACTGTAATGTACAGTATAGTACAGTACAGTACTGTGTTCTACTGTACACTGTACTGTACAGTACAGTACTGTACATACTGTACACATTGCAAAGTACTGTACAGTGTACAGTACAGTACTGTACAGTCTAGAGAAGTGAAATTGATTTTGAATACAGTACAGTATAGTACATGAATGAGTGAGTATTCGCAAATGTTGCTTTTAATAATTTAATTAGTATTTTAGTATGGATTATTCGCTGCACATTCTGTTAAGATATAAACCATACTCTGCCAGGAAAGAAAGAAATACAGTAACTTAAATTTACCTGTGATGATATTAATGTTCAGTTACTGCTATTTTCTGAAGGAGATATTATAGTAATTCCCATTATCGCTGTGCTGGATTTGAAAGTATAAGGAGGATTTGTTATAAATGTAACTATACGGACTATTGATTACAATTCCTAAAGTCATTATACGCGAACAGACTATTTAATGTAAGTCATAAATTGCGGTAAGACCAGATACTAAATAAATAAATTAAGGTACTCAACGATGTAATCAGTATTCGGCTACTGTTATTACACAGGATTAACGCGCATAATAATTTCCTTCAATGTTGTGCGTGTGATTGGAAGATCAATTACATATAAATATTTGTAAAAGAATACCACTCAGGTTATTCTGACGTTGTACGGGTATTTTCTATTGGACAATATCTGAATATTTAATTATTCACTAGTGTACCCAGGCGTATATAAATACGTCCGCTGATAATATCTAGTACTTCAATCGCTCGTAATACTCGTGTACTTTACTTGCACATGTTGCTAATATACGCGTATATGCTACATACTCACGTAGTCTTTACTTGTCCAATTCTTACTTTATGTACTCGCATATCAGAGTACAGTGTACAGTACACTAGAGACCCATAGATACAGTACAATTTAACTCTCAGATTTCCGGTTTCTAAGCCAATTAAAATTGCGCAAACTATTGTTATGCTAATTTTGTGCAGCAATTGCAAGTTTGCAACAGCTATTAGCTAATCACAACGAATGAATAGTACCAACTACCAATTAACTCAATTGGCAGTAAATTACCATATTTAGTCCATTCACTCCTAATGTAAACAGTAAATCAGTACTCGGGCAAAAACCAGCTTTATTGAGTTGGAGAAATAAGATACTTGAATCTCATTTGAGTGATGTCATTATCTGATATAAATCACTGAAGACTGTAGGCCATTTTAGGTTAAAATTTCTAAAGAAAACTATCTTGGTATTTTTCGATCATCGTACATGACATTATACTGTAACTATACAAGAGTGCATACTTTTTAGGGTTGCATTTCTATATAAATGTAATATATCAACTGATGAGGTAATCAAAAATGTGCAACTACTACATCTGTTATTGCTACTTTCTTTCCCGATTTTTCAAACATCTTCAAGTTCCCTATACAGCAAAGTGGTACCGACCTCGCAAGAGTATTTGGAGCTATTATACGTATATAATTATTTATTAACTTAATTTTGAGACATGTGTTACAACCTACTAGTCAATTCGGAACTTACAACACAGTAAGACATTACAAACTTGTAGATTAAATTTCACCGTAGGAAGCGTTTGGACTAAAGCTTCAACATGAAGGCTAGTAGCGATTTACCCAGTTTCGAGTAGAAAAGTAATCACTTAGAATCATTAATATAAAATTCGTTAAGTCCATTTTGCAATCCGCACAGGTAAACATGTAGTCTGAACATCTTTATCTACAGCCGTACGCAAGAGTTATTAGATGAAACAAACTTTAACGCCAACGATCGTTTCTCTTGTTGTCTACAACTTTCCACTCTTGGTCATTTTCGTTCCTGCTATATTTATCTGAATTGGCATCCCTTTCGCGGTTGCTTCTAGTTTTCGTAAAGGACTTGTTAAAATTGCGGGAGTTAGGTTTGGAGTCTGACGATGGAGTGTTAGTTCTCCAACTACTAGAATCTGAAGCTCTTGAAGATTCATCTTTCCTCGGTGGTTTAGTATCACTTGTCCAACTTCTCTGCCAGCGAGCATCGTCCGTTTTACCACGAACTGGAGTTCGGAGTGGTCCACCCTCACTTTTTAGCTTGCTACGTTCATCATCCACTTTCATAGGAGTATCCTCGCTTGCTTTCATTCTCCTCCATCTGCTTCCGTCTTTATCTGTATTTATGCCTCTCCGATCACCTTCTTCTTTTTTCTCGTCTCTTATTTTTAATCGCTCATCCCTCTGATTCATTCCATTGTCGGCTGCAGCTGACTTCAGTGTACGCCATGATTCAGTACTCTTATCTCGTTCGGTAGGGATCTTTTTCACAGGAGTAACGCTTACTTCAGCTCTAGAATGCTCTTCTTTTTCTAGATATTTTCTGACTTCTTTCCGTTGCTGTTCTAACTTTTTTTGCGCTCTTTCCTCCGCTTCTCTTTGTTTTTGTGCTTGACGTTGAAATTCCTCCTCTTTTTTAAGACGTTCCTCTGTAATTTTCCTTTCTTCTTCTTCGCGCTCTATGAAAAGGAATAACAATAAAGGATGCTATTATATATAAGAGTTTTGTGGATAGTCGACATGCTACATATGTCTAACCAATTCTTAACTTTTCTTCTCGTTCTTTTCGCTTCTTTTCCCTCAATTCTTCGATAAACTTATGTTTCCTTTCCTTCATTCTCTGTAAACTTCTATCTCGTAGCATTTTCTCTTTTAGTTCTTTTACTTGTAGGTTATATTTACTAAGCTTATCCTATAAAACATTCTTAATTACGTAAAGAATCATTGTAAATGGTATTGATTGTGTTTTACCTCATGTTCTTCAGATCGCTTTTCTTTAACTATTACTAGAAATTTATCTTTGTCATCCAGTATTCGAGATAAACGTCTATGCGTGCTTTGCGCATGTTCAAATTCCTGTCTGCAATTTCGAATCTATTTATGAACAACCATTGTCATATATACTCGTTAATAGAAATCGAATATAAACTGTTTTCAGTATATCGAACGAGAGAATGCAGGAAAGTACCCTTTCTTCTTCTTGCTTTTCCCAAAAAATTTTATCTTCTATTAATTGGTGTTTATATTGATCTTTAAGTTGAGGTATTTCTTCCACCCGCTTAGCTCTTTCCAGATGATCAATCTAAACAGAATATTAAATATATAGATAACAGAGGATTGTAAATACTTGAGATCAGCATTATTTACAAAAAAAACAATCTTAAAAAAAATTTTACGTCACTAACTCTTTTCTCTAAGGTTTTTAATTTCACCAATAGTTCTTTCTTGCCTTTGTCTAATTGTTCTACCTGCTTGGCATAGATATCATCGGCTTCCATATTTTTTAATTCCTATTTGTTTAGAAAATTATTTTAAGTCTAATACATCCTTGGCCCAACATTATATACAGCTTGAAGTTATTTAGCACGTCTTCAACAGCCTCATAGTTGGTATGGTTACATAGATCTCCACAGAGTCAAATTATTCAGAATGTGGACAGCAGTTATTAATTTACTTAATTAATCACAGGCTCTTCAAAGTAACGAGTTTTCTGCAAAAATAAACAAGCTTTCAAGTTCGAAAATTGTGGGAATTACCTCCGTTTTTAAATTTCCTAACATTCTAGCCCCAACATCAGTTTTCTTCAGTTGTTCAACCCTATCGAGAGCTTCTCTTCGGTCCTTTTCTTTCTGTTCTCTGCTTTTTGCTTCTTCCTCTCGTCTTTTCCTTTCTTCTTCTAAGCGATTCTTTTCCGTCTTCATGATAATTTCCTGTCGTTTCTTCGCCTCTTCTTCTTGCTGCCGCTCCTGTCCATCAAGAAGTTTATGGTTTATGTTAATCCCCTTTACCTATATCTACAAAGATTTAACATTTACCAAACCCCTTACCCTTTGCTCATGCAACTTTTCGATCGCCTCCTTACGCCTCTCGATATTGTCTTTACGCTTTAAGATAGAAGCATGTTGCTTTATTCTATTACGCTTGTACTTCTGAACTAACTGCTCGAGCCTAGCATTTTCTTTTTCCTGTATGAGATTGATTCATCTCCAAATGAGTTAATATTTACGTCACATGAACCTAGCCACTAAGACATGCAAACCTTTCGCTCCGGTGTTATCATAAATGAAGCTTTCCGTAACGCTCCATAAATTATCAACAGCTGACTACGGATTACATCAGACGGCATTGACTATATAATAGAATGTATGTAATAAAGCAATCATCTGCATTATCGTCACAGCAGAAGGAGCCCATACCTGAATAACTGGACCAGATAAAATATCATCTTTTTCCGATGAATAAAAACTGACGTTCGATCCGAAGATGTATGACTTTGTTGAATGATCGATCTTAACCTACAATAGAAACTATTTGTGAATAACTGAAAAGACCACAGCGTTGAGCCCATATCAATCTGGGAAAATATCATCAGTTTATGGGTAGTAGTATGAATAGTGTCTTCATGCACGACGCATAGCGCATCTTTGCACTCCAGATAACTAATATTTAACCATCATTTGACACGCTTTCCAGTTAGCTTTATGAAATATCAGACAGAAAGTAATATTACTATCATCGAGTTACCTCTAGATCATGCCTTGCCGCTTCAACGATTATCTTCTCTAAACGGTGCTGATCGGCAAACGGAATTAAATTAACCAGCCGAGAAAAACGGACTGTCTGGTAAACTTGAGAAATCTACAAGTTTTTAAAATATGCTATATAGTGTTAAAAAAGTGTTACCAAGAGATTTCTGTAAATAATAGCATACCTGCTTCATTTGCTTCATTATTGCTATGATCTCAAGCTGCGGTATATAACGGTCTAATTCAAGGTCATTTTCTGATTTCAAAATTTTAAATAATTTCGATATTTCTCCACAGAGACATAGAGGTTGAAAGTCTAATTCCATATAACGGTATAGATTTTGAAGTTCAACAGAAACGACTTGCAATACGTTTAACTTATTCTAGCAAGCAGTCCAAAAAGCATACAATTAGAAAATTGAAACAAAGGCATTAAAACAAATATTGGGACCGTACAATAAAATAACCCCTACCAAATCCTTCAATAAGCTAGATCGGGTGGGTACATTAATACAGCCTAAAATAGTAGCCAATCTTCTTGATTTCTCGTCATCTGCTTCATATGGTCTTTCAGTCAGGTTACGTTGTGTGGTCAGCGGAATTGCTAAGGTTGAAAGCAGGACGTTCGTTGCAAGTCTAGTAATTTTAAATTGTTATCACAAACCACAGTTACCTATCCTTAGCTTTAACAGTAAGTTAAGAAAACAGAATTGCTCTGAAATAAAAGTCAAACCTTTCGTTTTCCTCTGACGTTAAAGTTTTCTTTTGCTCTCTAGAAAGGATATATAGGCGGTGATGAGCACAAGCATGGAAAAGGTAATTTCCAGCTTTCCACAGAACTAATGCAAGCGTCTGATAGAAATTAGCCATTAGTTGCGGCTTAGGCGGTTTTCTGGACATAGTGGTCAAGCCATGAATATCCTCGACTGCTTTGAATGCCTCCTGTAACATGCATAATTCGACCGAGCTCGCATCATCGTGATTCAAAAAATTTAACGTGCGCGAAATTTACTATGAAAAATTACTTGTAGAACAATTTTGATCATCTAACCTGCCAGAGTTCCATTTTAATTGCGCAATCCACCTGAATCAATCTCGTCTCGATGTGCATTTGCATTGATTGCTCAACATTTAGGTTGATTCCATATTGACTTCCTTGTTGTTTTATTACTTGATTCATATGATTACGCAACTAAATAGTAGGTTCAGTTACTATTACGTCTAATACGCAATCGTCTATACAATACCAAATACAGACTATTATAACTTATAACTATACGACATGGTACAGACTTACATTGTCACATAACCTACGAAATTCGTTTCGCCTTCCATATTCGACGCAAAATTTGAATGCTTAAAAAAGTATAGAAAAGTTTTGAATTCCACGAGTAATATATGCATAAACATTGACTGATGGTTTCTCTTCTGAATGATTGCGAAATTACTGTACGATTTCAAAACTACATAGCATGCAATACAGAAATGTTCGAATCAGTTACTAGAACTTATATGGCTACTACATGATTGACTTCGGAAGTGCTACTATAATACCACATATAGTAGATTGTTTTCCTAAATTGTTGAAAATTTTGCTACCTCTTTGTGCAGTTTCCTGGTACAATGTCTCTACTTTTGCGTTGTTACGAAGCATATCAAGGACGGTGCGATAGGCTTCCCATAGGAATTTTACCCAGGGCAACAGCGTAACACGATCAGTCCTTTCTTGTGTGCTGTCATCTGTTACTGTACTCAATAGCAACCTTTAAAGGATAGTGCATAACCGCTAAATGAATACACTTAACAATTTACTAAACGTTTATGGAGCTATTAGCTATTATCTACAGTAGCGCAAAATTTACAATGTTTATACACTACATTTCATACCCTTCGTACGTTTGGACATCTTGCTCCAAATCTTCGCATTCAAGCGCAGAAACAATGTCACGAGATTCTTGACGCGCCTGATTAGCTTTGTCTTCGGCTAACGCTAGGTAATGGCGTATAGAAGCATCCAATGAATTAATGTTAACTTGCTGACAGATTTTTTTGTACTGATGCAATCCTTCTTTGCATTGGTTATTATTACGCGTTTCTACACATAGCTGGATATGCATAAAAATGATTTCTTGGTGAACTTTCGTCCAAGTACGATGCTTTTTACTATTGATGACATCGTTTAAGCAAGCTAGTGCTTGTTCTTTTTTTCCAACTTCGATAAATTCTATACACGTATATAAAACGAATATTAATAAAAAAATTGCCTGCTATCACCTATCGTAATACGCTTTTATTACTGTACTGTACTCTGTTACAGTACTATATGAAGCACGCTTGTTCTGTACCGTACAGCATCTAAATTTGAATGCTCCGGTGCCAGGGACTTCTGAACTACAGTTCTTTCAGAAGTGTAGTTGTAAAAGAAATCTCTTTCTTTTAGTAGTCCCTGAACGTGCGTAAATCCAAAGACCAAATCTCATGAATGTACAGTATACTGTAGTTTTAGTGCTCTGTATTTGTCGTTAAAAGATGTCACCTGTACACTCAGTAACTTAGACTACACGAAAGCAATACTGAAATTTAATTTATGAAGTTATATAAGTAATACTGATCAGAATACTCTATTAAATGATACAGAACGCGTACATGCAAATCATAATTAGTATAATCAGGCAAAGTTACGCATATATAATATTATACATATATACTTATATTATATAGTATAATAATGTGAGAAATGTTATGTCCGTTTTCTGTCATACCGGTCGATCGGTGATTGTGTTGGCATTCTACAGCAACTACAGTCAGGGACTACTTAAAAAATAGAGACATGACAGGAAACGGCCTTCAGTGCGAAATATTAATAACTGAGGCTATTATTTTTTCGGTCATACTACTATATGGTATCAAAGAAACGTACATCACCATACTGCATAAAACCAACTTAGCAGGCTAATAGCAGCTACTGTAATTTGATGTCAATCACGGACAGTATAATGAAACGTTGGGGACATGCGATACACTTGAAATGACCAGTAAAATAATTGGTCTACACATTATCAGTATAGTGAACGATCGTTTCCTGTCCTGTCTCTTTCAGTTTTAGTAGTCCAGGATACAGTACAGTATATTATACGCACTGTAAATTAAAATATGACTGTCTAACGCTCTATGCAGCGCCTGATTTGTCGGAAATATTTGAATGAGATCGCTAACAACGTTATTCCTACTGTTGCGTAATGTAGCTAAGTAAAAAAAAAGCTCCTAAGAAGATAATATACAGTGACGTTATTCCTGAACAGTACAGTAGTATCACTAGAGTTTGTACAAGTAGGAAGATAGCTCTCTGAACTACCTTCGACATAAAGATTGAAGTGGGTTTTACTGACTGTATGCAGTTAGGTACACCGATTTACTGTACTGTATATTGCATAGTAAGGCATTAATATCGTCTGTAAATCGTAAAATATACAGTCTGTTCGAGGAAAGTGAAGCCAAAACTAATACAACAGGGCATAGGTTAGGATAGGATAATACAAGTATATTACTAAAAACAGCGCGCCATTTCCTTGACAGAATATATTCGGAGGATCTAACAACTAGGTTTTTCTTTTAGTGGTCCGTGATCCAGTACAGTACTACAGTATACAGTACGTATTGTACAGTACATTAACGGCACGTGACATTGCGTTGGGAAAACTTAATAATGCTACTCGTTGCTGTAAAGCATAAGTCACACATTCCGTGGACAGTATCCAATTTTACGTTAGTTACTGAATTAACACTCACTATGTAGTACACTAGTGGCAAAAAATACTTCGGTGCAAGCTTCGACTGAAGAAAATAAATGGTGTAAAGAATTATAGTATTTTATTCGCGAATATAGTGCAAATATTATAAACTGTACGTACTGTATAAGATGCAGGCACATGTCATTGAACAGATGAAAAATAACTGTTGTACGTAACTCGAGGGAACATCCTAAAATTTTCCATCAGAACGCAGTTAGTAATTTATTACTTACTACGTAATACTGTAATTTAAGCCAAAAGTTAGCGTTGCTACTTTTAAACCATCATGCATTTTGGAGTTTTACATACAGACATGATGATAGTGTACTTAATTAATTAACAACACGTGTACAGGTAAAAGCCGTAATGTACAGTACTACTTTGCTGTACTGTACTGTTCGCAGTATTGAACTAGACTTAAAAAAAGTATTTTGTTGGCACTGTATCTATAAACGGTGCGAATTACTGTATCAGGCCACCACCAGCACGAGAGTTAGAAAGGGACAAGGCCGTTCATATTTTAGACTAGTCGAAAGTGTTAAGCTTTTTTACATACTGCCAATGAGTAGCTAGACAAACGACCAACTCCATCATTTACTAATCTTTGAAATATTTATAGCGTTTACTATAATAGCTTAGTATTAAGCCTTCCACTGTTGATCCAATTCTTGTACTGTATCTGTAATGTCTTACACCTACAATACGTATTCTTTTTACTAACAGAAAACTCAACTTTTACAGAATATGCATAAATCGATGACATTTACCTTTGGCGCGTTTTAGCGCATTTCCAGGTTTAGCAAAGTTTTCTCTCATGATAATTATACTGTAATCCTAATTTCTGCTTTGCAAATTATTCGATATTCCAGACGGCGAAATACATTTCTATAAAATCAATCAATCGATACTGCATGTTCTCTCAACTTTTCCCCGGAGCAATGTGAGATTTTACATAACGTACCCGCACATAGAGATTTTTTTACTTTCTGTACTGTACCGTACAGTACAGTACGTACAGTGTACTGTACTGTACAATACCGTAACTGTACTGTACAGTGTACAGTACAGTACAGTAATGATAGACAAGCTAATGTACTGTACTGTACACTGTACAGTACAGTACAGTATGCTAACTATTATACAGTACTGTACTGTAGTAAACTGTACTGTACAGTACTGCGTGCGGTCCTAGTCTTCCGATTGCATACGCACTTCCGATATAGCGAAATGACCAGTTAAATAGTAAGCCTCCACATTTTTTTAAATGAAAATCGATGACAGTCCCTCTCTCTCTCTTCTTTAAGTATTCCCTGCTAATATCATAGTACTGTACTACAAGAAAAACCTTAACCATTACCGTACCCATGTAGCATGCTACATGGGTTCCCATAGTAATCAATACAAAATTTTGAATCAAAAATCGGAGTGTCTAGTTCTTGTCACTGATTTTAATTACAGTGGTAAGTGCTGTAGCAAGTACTGTACAGTGTACAGTACATTACGGTTGTGTGCAAAAACTTTGAACATGTCAACTACAAATTACAGGTTCTCGGATATTGGATCACGGGCACAGCTGCGGTACTGTACAGTACTGTACCGTACGCTGATACAACACTATGTACTGTACCGTAATGTACACTTGTACAGTACAGTACAGTACAATACAGTACACTCGAATATAAAGTACTGTATACTACAGTATTTATTACTATTTTTCGTCATTTAACTCAAGTCTTGTACTGTACAATATAGTCATAATAACATATTATTCGTTTTACATTAGCTACAGTAATGGATACAAGTAGTAAGCGTTCCGAAATAAATAAATGTAAGAGCCGGCCATCTGATCGGTTGAATCCTAAGACTGTTGACCCGGTAAGATAAATTTAAGATAGATTGATAGTATTGTACTGTAGTGTATGTGACTTGACTGTATGCAAACTTAACATTCAATATCAAAGAGGGAGAACGTATTTTACAGGGCAAATGCTCGCGGAGTAAGAAGGCTATCAAGCTCAGCCGCGCAAGATACGCTATCTAGCAGTTAAATAAAATTTTCTACTACTAGTAAATCTTAAATCTCACAGCGTTAAAGGACCCTTTACCTTTTATTGACAATAATCTTATACAGTATCATACGCATACTATAACATACGCGTACTTGACATGTACGCGTATGTACACTGTACAGTACGATCGTACATGTTTTACTTTATTGTACTGAGGGGTGTCAGAGGTAATTGTATTGCAAGGAATTGACCAAAATTCGCAGAGATGTTACATACGTACACAGATTATTTTAATAGATAAAATATGTAATTGCTGTACAGTACTGTACATATACCAACATCCAGCCCGTTCAAGATTCACTTACAATAAAGAAAGCCAGCTGAAGCCTGAGATTACTAAACTGTAGAAAATCTTGATCAGATTCCTCCCACGATATTTATATATCAATACTTTAGTAATGATGTTATTAGTGTTATAATGTACTGTACGGGTAATTGTATTTATTCATTTATTATTGCTAGTAAACCACGGAGTTTGCTATTTTCTAATTATCGCAAATTAATCCATGAAATTAATTAGTTTAGTGCCAAGGTAAGACATAAGACAACCTTTTCCGCCGCCTATGTGAATGGAGGAATCCCTTGCAGGTACGTACAAGAATTGAATTTTCCTAATTATTATAATATACTACTGTAGCTATCTACCTCCGTTTACAATGAACGGCAAGGGCCACCAACAATTGCTATCGTACAGTAGTACTATAATACTTAGGTACTCTATAACTAAAAGCTTCCCAACAATTGCTATTGCTATATATGGCTGCCAATATTGATTCATGGCGAAAGGGAATAATAGCTGTCTATATCGGTTTACAGTAAACTGGAATACTGTATTTGTAGTAGCTATCTGTATTGTTCATAGTGAACAAGGATAATTGTCTGCATATACTCTTATATAGCGCCTATATTAGATACGGGCGAAGTACAGTATGGAATGTATCCGCTCACAACGCAGTGTACGATTTTTCATCATTTTATGGCACCTTCTCATATTAAATTGGCATGCTAGTTTATCTCGTCACCGAAGCTGTAATTATTTTAAAATTTTATATAAAGGTTCGATTTTAAAGGTTGATCATGATAATTATATAATTAGTGCCACATCCTGCATCAGTAAAATTGTTTAACTGTTCAAGCACATAGCACTGTACTGTACCGTCTGTACGGCATCGATGTACAAAAATGCAAAAATACTATTATTTACAGTTATTAGTTCATGCTCTTTATGTAGTACAGTGCAGTACTCTACTGTAAACGATGGTTATTACTAAAATTTACCAAAACACGATGATCATATTCATACTGTATGATGCTAATTAAAATCAGTGATACTAGTCGGGTAGTAATAACCTTGTATGTTTCATCTTTGAATAACTGATGTTAATGTAACTGAGGATACCACTTCGACGATTAGCAATAATAACATCTGCTTTACATTTAAATTTACATCTAGATTAGTTCATGGATCTGTAAAGCATACACTACAGTGGTCGACATCTCCGGAAGATCTACCATATGACCCATTGCTAGTTACTATGATGGAAGTAAGCTCATAAACGTGTAAACTGTTTTTGTAATTGGCTTCTTAATTAGTGATACAGACATACATACAATAAAAGACCGTCTCGTAACATTAGGTGCTAATAGTGCCACGCTTTTATTACGAGTAAGTACGTATTACTGATGCGTACCTGCTTGTGCTGTGTAGCAACTATTATATGTAATTATATATATGTAAATATGTATAATTAATTAATAATAATCAATTATATTGGCAGGGTTTACGTGAAACTGTACATCCCTTTACATTTATTGTGAAGCACGGGTTAAGAGATTTATTGCAAGCTGATAGAGCATCTATGAAAATTATTCCGTTACTTTCTCAGTTAATTCCTCCCTTACGACAGGCCTTGGTAACTAAATAAATCTGTTTCAGTTGTTCGTAATCAAAAGTTTAATAGGCTGATCTGAAGAATTTCTATTCATATAGCAGGAACAAAGTATTACGATTTTTGATGCATGCCTGCAAACTTTACAACTTCTCAGTGATGCTGCAGGCTCTGAACTCAATGTACACTTGAAAACACTTCTCCCTCAAGTACGGAAAAACTTTTTATATGTATTACGATTTATTACTGTTTTCTTAATAAATGTTTTATAGCTCTCGAAGAGAATGTTCAATAAAGATCATATGGGTTTAATCTCATCTACTTTGCAATGTCTTGAACGCAACGGAGGAAAAGTAGCTTTCATGTATAAATATGTCAGTATTTAAGAATGTCCACACGGTAACAACTGCCAAATTCTTCCTAGGATGCATTAAGGATTATTAAGGCAAAAGTACCAACCTACACGTCCATGTGTTCCTAGTTTAAGATCGAAAGGTGCGTAAAATGTAATAAATTTCTATTAGTGATGTATGTCCCATGTGTTTCTTGTTCCAAATTTATAGCTGTATTTGAATTTCCGGATCTGGGTATGAACGTCACAATACTAAATGCTTTGAATACCAAGAACTTGCGATTGCTTAATTTCAACAAAAACTAGCTAATAGAGTCGGTTGTCCGTTATATCAGCGTAATACTGTTCTGCCTGAGAAAGGCTCAGTCAATTATAACTATCGAAGTAAAAACTTGCAAAATGTTAACGTGTTTAAATTTACATTGATTGAAGTTGGAATATTCTAAATGTAATTATTCGTCACTGTAATACATCCGTTGGCTAGGGGTACTTAGCCGCTCAATGTAACATCTCTCGATTTTGATCTTCAATTATAACTATTTTAGCTATTCAATGTTGAGGCATTAATAAGAAGTGCAAATGAAAAATTAGTTAAAGTAACAATAAACTTCAAAGACTTTACTTCACTGTCAGTGTGTTAATTTCCATGGAACAACGTATAATGCATTCCGATTCTCTCACTGAACTTGAACATCTGTATCATCAGTAACGTGGACAACAGTATTTCCAGAACGAAAGCTCGTGTTAATGTGTCTACGATAAATTACAAAATTTATTATCCGAAACCCCTAAAACTAAAGAACCGCTCAACAAGTATGACTTTGCGAGTCTTTAAATGGTGTATTTTTGTCTAATAGTTAGAGGAATGCGAATGCATATTATTAACATCTTGCATGCACGCTACAGATACGTGTATGAATAAGTGAATATTATTTTCATAAGCTAACTCTAAAAAATTTTAACTTTAATGGTCAGTGTACTCGGCACTAGGTTGTGCATATACGAGTACAGTATATTATATTATATTTTTTTTAATAAATCCCACCTGCCCTCCCTTGAAATGAGCAGCGCGGGGGGTATTTATACTACTCTTAGATGACTGTGATTATGGGTTCATTTCAATAGGTCAGTATAAGATTCTTACAGTACTATTTATCTCAAGATTTATTCATGTAAAACGAATAGCTCTAAGGTAGTAATTTTTGCAGAGTACTAATTATTAAAATAGTATTCGTTATATCGCTAAGGGTGGCAACTGGGCCTTTAAATTTTGATTTGATGTAATATTCTGATGAAAATTGAATAAACATAGAATCTTAATAGAGTTTTCTACACAGCCATTTTGATCGTTACATTTTCTTATAACGGTTGCTATCGACAGAGCAAGCTTTGCTTGCATACTCAAGCGATCCTTAGACACATTATAATGATTGGTATATAATTGACCACAGTACTAAGGACATTGTACCGCACTGTAGATATCTTACAGTACCTGCTAATCTTAACTTGGACATGTCCATCACCGTACCGTACATTAGTTATCATAATGTGCTTTGTACCATTAACTAATCTTAATATAGCATTTCATCCGTGAATGCATTATTGAAAAGTACGGTAGTATTCTACAAGCATAGCTATGAATATACTGTAGTAGTGCCTGGCTATTACCGGGATATACAGTATATAAATAATGTCGAATGGTAATACTATCTGTTAATTATTAACAAATAAGTACATTAACGTAAACCGTCAGCAAAGCGATGTGAATTTGTACTAGATTGTACTAAATATGTACTTTATAAAAAATAGCGCAAAGGATACACACATTCTACAGACGAATATTATTACGCACCCCTAACTTTTACTAATAAAGCATGGCAAATTAGATTTCAGTTACTTTAGACAGATACTGTATAATGAGGATGAAGTTCGCATTAAAATTGTTGCACTCTTAGGTCAGATTAGAAACGCCAGATATTTCTTGCACAGGCATGTTTACATAGTCAGGCTTTCGATAAGACATGAAACCTAAGGCTTCTAGGAAGAAACATTTCTGATAAATGATCTACCCTAACGTACGGTATACGCGTACTGTATCTTGTCCGAATACTTCTTCATCTAGGAGTGACATTACTGTCAGTTGATTTTATCATTAATTAGGACCATCGTTTTGTTTTACAGTTAGGTTACATTTTCTTCGTTTTTCCGTTAATTTTTATTATCTAAGAGTAACTTCTATATAAGGTAACAATCATGTTATTATTCATAAGCATCAATGACTTAGGACACGTTACGCATAGCAATAACAGCGAATCTTGGATCACCTACCAGGTGATCTAAATCTGTTTAGCTTAGTGCTAGCAATAAATGAGGTATGATTTATATTGGTATTGCACCGCGCATTGACAGTAGCAAGTCCAACAGAGCAGGATATAATTTTAAGTACAGAGATAAAAGTAGAACTAAATCCGTCACCTAACTGTAAATTTCTGGCTAACGATTCGCCTACAACTCTTCTTCCAATAACAGGGCTCTAAAATTTAGAGTTTACCTTGGCTATTATTATCATTACTTTGTAGGCTTGAAGATAGCCGGAGAAATCAATAGAGTGACTGCATTAATTACTCTATATTGTACAGTACTGTATATGTATTATGTACTGTACCTATGTGTACGACGTAAGTGCATGTACAGTACACGTGCACTATACTGTAGCTATTAATCCAAAGTCATTGATTAAGGTAAGTACAGTATTCCAATTTCACCTGATTTTTCTTTCAAGCGTAATTAAGAAAATCAGCTAATACTGATAATTCTAACTGGATTTATCGAATCTTTTCACAAGCTGACATGACTTGATTAATATCAGCGTGGTGTCCGAAGTATTTTTGTCTATGCTCGAAGAGGATGCCTTGATCGCCTTTACCAACGACATAAAGGGCACCCAAAATTCTGCCTTCACCAACTAAATTTCCGGATACACCAGATTTCCATGCCTTGTAGGATGATTTCCAGAGGCCAAAGTTGAGAAATCCGGATAAAAACATATAACGCTGATTTCGCTCACCGCCGTAGAACCGTTTTTCAGTATCCAGATAAATTTGACCTTTAAAATAGTCTCTAAACTCATCTATGCCAATGTCTTCATGCACAACGCCAATTAAACGTACGCCTAATTTATCTAGTTTAGGCTTGATGGAGGAAACTTCAAGTGCTTCCTCCCTGCATACATGTCATCCGGGTCTTCTCACAGCTAATATGACAGCACCAGTTCTTTTCCATAAATCACCAGCACTTAAGGACGGTAATGTGGATTCCTTCCTATCGACTCGTTTAGAGTTTTGTTCTAGAAATATCAATCTAGCTTCATTTAAATATCGGACATCAGAATTTGGAGGTGACGGCCAAAAATCATGATTGGAGTAAGCTATTGCTGCAAAAACAGCAGCTGCAGAAGCAGCTTTAATCAAGGAAGTGATTGTCCACTCCAGATTGCCGAGAATAAGAGAGAAGTAAATCTTAACGTTCGTATCGTCTACTTATTTATTCACTTTTCTTCTTTTTTGCTCTGTATATACTGTACAGTACAGTACAGTACAGTCTGTTGTTAAGGGTGGGTTAACTCGGTACAGTTTGCCTAACTGTACACTGTACAGTACACTACAGTACAGTACAGTACAGTGCAAGAAAATCGTACTGTACAGTACAGTACTGTACTGTAAGTTCTACAGTAAGTACCTTACAGTGGTTGTTAAGTTATTTGTTGCCGCCTGCTCGTACTGTACGGTAACATGAACTACGGTACAGTACAGTACAGTACAGTACAGCAAAATCTTCGCGCTTGCTTTTCACTGGCACTGTTTTGCAACTTCCGTCATATATACTGTATCTAGACCTCTTTGTATCCATTAACCTCGGTAAATGTTATAGTAAATGTTAAAAACGCTTCCATGTTTTAGCAAGGAATTACCATACTGTACTGTACAGTATTTTATTACGGTTTATTGAAAAAATCAAAATGACTGCCGCCATTCCAGTGTTAGATGAGAAAATTAAGGAGTATTTCCTATTTCGTGGATTTACGGAAACATTAAAAAGCTTTGAAGCCGAAATCAAAGCCGATAAGAATAAAAGCTTCAAGGTAAATTAAAAGAATTCTGATTCGAGCTAACATTTTACAAAGTTGTATAGGTTTTGTAAATACAGTAGTGATCTTTAATTCTTGATGCATTGACGTTATTTACGTAGCGTACGCGTATTGTATCCACATAAAACAATTATAATTATATTAACACGATTTTAAAGCCTACGATAAGTTATACTTAGCTCAGGAAGAGTTCAGGTTTTCGTTTAATGCGTATACTGGTAGCAGTAATCGTTTCTTTGGAAATTATGCTGTGAAGCTGTGATATCACGTATCATGCAAATGATAATTATAATGTGCACCAGCGAAGCCCCTGCTGTGTACCAACACCAACTGTGATGGGAGCGATTCAACATTCACTACAATTTTGCCTCTATGTTCACAACTCTGCAGAGTTCTCGTCTGTACTATTGTGCTACACTTGTAGGAGGAATAGAAAAGGAAAAGAAAAGTGTTACTGTATTTAAAGCTCAGTATAAGTGCTTGCTCGTTTTCTCGAAATTTTATGTACTGTATAATATTTGTAGGATACGAAACGTACAGTATTGTACAGTATCGTATTTCGAACACTAGAAAATACACGATTATACATTTACTTACAGTTAGTGTATTAGTGTGTATCTGCTGAATAAATATCGTAATGGATGACAACACTATTCACTGATTGAAACAGCTTAGTGATAATTTGCTGCCAACCTTCGCTATTACACCTATTCTACTGTATTCTATTTAAAATACAATATACAGTACAGTACCATCAGTTTGTCGCTTACTACGGCTAAAGTATACAGTACAACTAAAATTTTCATTCCTAGTTATTTCTATTTACTGTACAGTAACGGTACCATATACAGTAGCTGAAATTTCGAGGTCATTCGTTTAGCGCTATACGGGTATTAATTGACTAGGTATGCTACAGTAGTACAGTAAATTAATTTACAGTATATTTACGTTTTATAGAATTATCGAACTGCTTCGGAGTCTGAGCTATTCACTAATTAGAAATGTCCGATTCAACCACGTTGCACAGAAAGCAGTAAGTGCGATGTCTGACAATATGCGCTGAATGCAGCCCAAAGTATTAATAGGCATTTTCGCATTAGGTGCTATCAGTATAGCAGGAAGGACTAAATGCATTTTTTTGATAGAAACCTTTATGAAGTAAAATAGTAAATAGCTCAACTAGCATTTACTAGTGTATCCTATTTACGGGATTAGAAATCACAATTGTGGCATTCTATTAAATGAATAAAAACTGAAAAATTGAGATTAACTTTCTTGTTGAATATACTCGTAATTATCAAAAATTAGTACAGCATCGTAAGATACTATAATTGATCACATGTCTTTCATGCTTGCGTGGACAGACATACTCACTTCCTTTATAAGATTTCTGTCATACTCGATGTTTTGGGTTGATTGTGATCATTGATTACTTTTGGCGAAAATACTTGTGCAACTTGATGAGATAAAACAGTTATATTTTTAATTGAGTTCGTAATCCCTATAGATATTTAATTAAACAAATTTTATTGTACTGATATATACAGCAACGTAAACTTAGACTATGGAGGATACCTCGGTAAACGTAATAAGTGTATAGGCCTCCACCAGGGATTACTGTAAAATCTGGTTTTATACGAAGTAGCTATGTTAAGTAGGCATACAATTGAGCTGTAGCTTCTGTACGTGGTAGACGTACAGGATAGAATGGAAAGAAAATTTAATAACATAAAATAATTTATTTATTATTGTATTCTGTTAGGTATTTATTTGCATATAGTTATATTGATAGATGACAGGTAGACGTTTTGATACATTCCGCTTAATTTGGTTATGCTAGATTGGAAAAATTATCGAACAATTGCTTTATCATATAAAGTCTTACGACATTGTTGGCTTAAAAGAATTTTATGCTGGCTTAGACAGACAATTTTTTTGCCGACTGGAACGTAATCAACTACCGAACGTCCGTCGTGTTGAAAATGGATTGCTTCGTTATTATTTAGTGAACGCAGTTCAAAATAATAAGCATGAAAAGGTCATTGAATTTTTTCAGAAATACTCGGCTGAATTACTAAATCAGAGTGATTGGAAGGAGTGGTTTGGTAAGTTTATATAAAAATAAGAACTACGAAGCTTAATATAGCATAAGATTCTTCGTGTAACGTAAAAGCTAAGTTCTGTACTTAATTTCCTATGTGATGCAAATAGTATCAGCCATTTAAGTGCATTTTCGTAGCTGAAGTGACTGCTTAGGCTATATTGTAATCAGTAACTATACAACTCAGTCGCCTTCGATAAACTCGGTATATTAATCTAATAAGTAATCTTTGTTTAACCATAGAGATAGTTTTAATATATGTTACTATTTTAATAGCCTTGCCCTTTGTAAAGAATCCAGAGCAAAGCCCCACGTTTTCTATTTATTTTCACAAATCTTGGTTAGAATCATTTGTGCTATCTTTACACAACTTCCTGAGCGTAATATGCCACACCATGCATATCCTTTATATTAATATCAAAGAGAGTATACAAAGGTCAATGCTTTCTTGGCGTTAAATGTGCTTTGATTTTCATTAATTTTATTTATTAATGAATATGGATCACTTCAGCTTATGCGTCATTTAGTCTGGATAATAAGAGCTACCAAATGTACCTTCTTTAATACTTACATCCTTGTAATTGTAGAATATTACGTTATTTAATTATTATTACAGCTATTTATTATAAACTATTGATTCACTAATAGCGCTTATAGACCTTAATCAAGTTTACCCGTACCTAGTATATTAAATTTTGAAAATGAAATGATCAAATTCCACGAACTTGAGGAAGAATATCAGGCGCTGCAAAAAAGTTATTCTGAAATGCAGACGGCCCTAAATAAGCAGTCACAAGAACCGAATTCTAACAGGATTATTGAGAATAAGTCTTCCCAGTAAGTGGCATAATGTGAAGATTAATTTGTTACTGTATTGCCTCGGTAGGCAGAAATAAAAGAATGAGATTTGTAAGCCATTATTATTATAAAAATATAGGCCGTCACATGAGTCTAGGAAAGCAGTGGAGCTTCCGATTATAACTAAGAAATCTGATAAACTCAATAAGAAAGAAAAGCGTTTCCAATTGAATGGATCGTTAACTAAATCTAAGAATGATGAGTTAGGCAATAGAGATAGTGCTGATGGCGATCGCCGAAATCCTGTAAAAGATGTCAATGACAGCAAAAAAACGACTTCGGCTGAACGACAAAGCAATGCGTTAAAACAGGTTTTTAAAATAGTGACTTACTTTTAGTTGAAACTAAGGTGTAATTCATGCGTTTTTTAAGGAGATTTGTTTTCATCTTTCTTAGCTACAAGGCCTGACTAAACGACGAATGACGCCTACCCCAAAGGAAAGTAAAAGTGTCACGGAATCCAATCTCACGACTATTGCAGAGAATGAAGAGAGTATATCCGCTCAAAACATTACAACAAAGAAACCCGGTAACGAAGATGCTACGAAATCTGTGCAAGTAGTTCCTGAGTCTACAGACGCACAGAGCCAAATATCTCATTCAGTATCGCAGGTGCTATCATCGAGCACGATATCCCCTGGGATAAATTTTCATGTCCCCACTCATTCATCTTCACAAGAAACAGCTTCGTCTGTGCCTCCAGCTCCTCCTCCTCCGCCTGTATCGAAAGTTAATCGAAATAAGCAGATATCTAATAACGGAAATCGAATTAGAGATAGTAAAAATCCTGTGATAGGTAACCTATCAGATAAAATGCTGCATTTTTATCACTATCTTTTAATATTCATATTGGTAGAATTTTTGTACTAAAGTGAATCATACGTCACTAGATGAAGATGACGAAGAGCATGAATCTTCAGGAGAATTGAAAGGTTACATTAAATAGGCTTTACATTCCACCAAGTGCATTAATTCTTACTGTCTTCAAATTTTTGCTGATTGTCATCATTAGATAGTAATAACGCTGACGCTGGCAATCATCCGTTTACTTATTTAACCTCAGTAAGCACATTCAGTCCACTGATAATTTTTAATGCCACTTTTAGAGTTTTAAATATATTTATGCTACGTATCTGTTGGGATTTTCTGATTAGTATAAGTATTTGGAACATCACTCTGCAATAATTCAATGTCGATTTTCATTCGATGCCAAGTATGTTGGTAGCTTAGAAACAGATGGTGTCGCCAAGTAAGAGTAGTCTTGATTGTATCGTGAATTTAGTTTTGAATTATCGGCTAAGGAAGCTTTTTGACTAATAATTTTATAATTAATCGCAATCAGAATATGGAATCATCAACCAAATATATCAACGGTAGATACATTAGTATCGAAGCCACCTGGCTTTGTATCGTTGGAATGGATCAGCAATTGTGACAAGGTAGGCAATTGAAAGCAATCGCATGCTGTGTTATTAATTTTGGTCTAACACTGCAACTGTCTCAGTTGCTGTTAGGCACGGGAGATGGTACCATTCGAATTTATGATAGTAGTGTCAGGAAAACCGTTAAGGATATTGAAGTTGACAAGGAATATCCCAGGTGAGATTGATGGCGATCTGATTATATTCGAGGTCAAATTAGCTGAATCTAGTAAAATTTTGTTTTTGTAGAGTTCAAGTTCTAGCATCTAGTCCTACAGGAACCTCGTTTGTAAGCGCAAATCAGGCCAGAATTTCATTTAACAGTGTTATGAACAACAAAGGCCAAAAGAATCACATATCCTTCTCTGGCATTGACACTAAGTCAGGAGTTTTGTTGACTTGGGATATGACGACTATGATGAAGCAGGTTACTATATCATATGTTAATTTTCTATTTCGCGTTTGGTGAAAATTCTGCCTCTTATTGTCGCTTATATTTTGCTAGGAATCGCTACCTTTGGAAAAATCTGTTTTCATTAATTGTATATCATACAATGTTAGCGGAAATCTTCTTATTACTGGCGGAAGTGACGGCAAATGTAGATTATACGGTTAGATTTATTATTAAGGTACTGTAAAGTATTTGGCTATAGCCCACCAACACATATTAGAATTGAATTTTTAGATATTACCAACAACTTGCGCACTGCAACTTGGCAAGCACATAATGGAACAGTCTATGCTGTGCAGTTTAGTGGTGATGATAACAGTATTTATAGCATGGGTGCCGATAGAAAAGTAATGGGATGTTTGTCCACTGTATCACATTATTTCCTAATTTATTTCGTATAAATCTTTGTTAATACTTTTTCATTACTTTTAGTTCATTCAATGGAGTATGCGTACAATAGGTACCAAAATTGCTGATTTTAATGTTACCCAAGGTGCATTTGGAGGCTTCTGTACACCCAATTCACAAGGCAGCATGGATAAAAAGTATTATACTCCTCGTGGAAATCTTTTCTCCTTTGATTCTAAAGGCGAATACGTCATTACGTTTGCATCGACTTGTGGACACATTTATAGGGTACTATGCATATAGTTCATTTCATGAATAAGATTTTACTGGAACGTATTGCATATATAGGACTATATCTGAATATTTTGCTATCTTTTATCAGGTTAAGGATTCTGAAGAAGGTAATTTATTCAAGGTGCTTACTTTAGGGACACATCAGTTACCTGTGATGTGTGTGGATTGGTTTACAGCGAATACTTCTGGCACCGGTGTAACAGGGTCTTTAGATGGTACTATTCATGTAACAAATTTTTTGAAAAGTTGATGTATTGGATATTAAAGTCATTTAGCCCTGGTGAGACAGATTAAGAACTGATGACTACGTACTTACGCTTTAGAAATGAAAATTCTGTGCGGCAGGTGAGATTCTACTGCAATGATATGATTTTCTTTTGTCGTAAATTGTACACTTTTAGTAATTAACCTATGCTTTAAGATATTTCCTGTTAATTTAGGTATTTAATAGTTCTTTGCACATAAACATTGAGATTTTTACGTTTTATGAAACAAAGAATTTTAAAAATAATTGTACAGCTGATTGTAATATTACCGCGAGTTTACAATCTACAAAGTGTAATTACTGCCTGATTGATTCCGGAATAAGTAGATAATACTGATGCCGATAAAATCTGTCATTTTTAATTTACAAAAATCAATTTGTTGTATATTATTTAAAATCTAAAGCCTATTTATGAAAGCCACTTTACTACATTTTTATATGATGCTGTTTGAAGTGTAATAGTTCATACCATGTTTTAATGCGGCCCTGACTTGAACTTTTATGTAGTAGGAAAACGATAGGTTTGCTATGATCAATTTTTGCATAAGCTATAGCATTGTGCATGTACGCTTTAATGAAGGGCGAACTACGTGGCATCTTTCAGAATAATGCGAATATCGAATTTACATAAAATTTTTGTTTGCTGTCTGTAAAATTTCTCTAAAGCTTTTGCTGTGAATAATGGTTTAATGTATAATAATGTATATGATATATACAGTAGTAAATAATGATCCCCTAAATGCAAATATTTTTTTTAATTAATACTTTTATGTTCGTGTAATGTATTTATAATAGATGTAAATTCATTATTAAAAGGGAAGGATGTTGATTGTATTCTGAAAGTTTCGGATGAACTGACAGCAACATTTTTACACTGAAACTTCAAAATATATGTTTTCCATTTACACTCCTGACGAAGCTCGCGTAAGACATTTCTTATAAGAGTACTATGCACAAGATTAACTGATGGATTGTGTGAAAGAGCATGCTGTTACTTTCTGATATCAGCTTTGGTGGTATACATTTACGAAAAGAAGTCAGCGACTTCGGCTTCTGAGACGATACAGTCTCGTAACATGAATACGTTAACTTAACTCTGTATATGACATAGATTTGTTCATTTTCGGGAGGATGAAGATCTTACTGCGTAGCATACGTAATCAATATGTATTTTGGACGGGTTTTTGTTACAGTAGCAGCATAATATAAGTAGGCTTACAGTATATGAGCAGCTTAGAGGATTTGATATCAGCTTTCATAGAAATGCTTTTATACGTGTATGCTCGTATACAATTATGCAGCGTATAAACCATTTGTGTATCATGCAAAGTTACTTTATCGATAGCTAAGATTTGGTTTTTGGCAACACTAAATTCTATGGTTTACACTCTACCACTTTCATCGTAAAACATGATCAATTTCTTTCGCATCGGTATTCAATTAGTGATCATCATTCAATAAATCAGTCAATTTTGAGTTCACTCTCGGAGTTACTTCTGATTGATTCTGTATCAACCACAACAATCACCACCATTACGTACGAGTGTTCAGCTTATGATATTGTTTTATGAATGGTTGAGATACTGTATTATACTCACAATGAACTGTAAAGCATGTAGATTAGGCAGCACTGTGAGTTATATTCTAATTTGTGAAAGTCTTGATGGCAATTCACCAAAAATAAACAATTATCGGTGGTACGACAGCCAATACTTTGCGCTCAATGCTAAATTTATAGATCGCATTCGGTTTGCTTTCATATCAATAGACAGAAATTATGATCTGCGGTATGCTGCTAAATGTTATAAATTTAATTAATTTTATAGTCTAGACAGAAGTTATAGTTTTTAAATCACCGACTTAGCTACATGTTAAGCATCAAATTAACAGAGAATTAATATATAATCCGTCTTAAGACCTTTGGCAGTCTGGTTGCAATAAGATTATACGAAAATTATAACTGTGATATTCCTTTAACTGTATGATTTTGAAGTAATTGCGGCTTGCATTATATCTATAAACAATTACATATAGCGCGTCGATCAGCGTAAGCACAAGCGTTGATAAAGACAGTAATGTTGTTTCTTGAAGATTGAAATATTACTGAAGGCCATTCATTCGAATTTATTTAAGATTAATTTTGCATAAAACTTTATGATTAATGTATGATAGATCAAGAATGAAATTAAGGAAATTGGCAAATTCTTGATAACGTACAATAGAAATAACACGGCAAATACGGTAGCGTTTAAGATTTCTATTATCATCAGCGATTGTATTACCGACATAAGTTAAGTACCGATCCGCCTAATAAACAATAATTACAAAGTCGCTCCATAATTGTGAAGGAACCACGTAGATCTACAATTTGGACTCTAAATAAAGTAATTATTTCATAATACCAATACTCTTTTGGTTATAAAGGTTTACAAGTTAATGCGGAGCATTTTTTAATGTAGAAAAAGAATTCGCAAAGATGAGCGTAATCTTGATATTAGTGGTTTTGATCGCGGTAGAATGTAGTTAATTCATATTTTCAATTTATTACGAGTGCTTCGACGTATTAAATTTTCGTCATATGCGTCTATTATCCGCTTGCGATTTAATTCTGATGCCATCAAATTCCGAATGCGCTCACCTTCTCGTACAGGTTCTAACATGTAGGTGCCGTATCCAATTATTATGATCATCACACTAGTCAGTGTATTAAATTGAATCTGAAAATAAATTGTGTTTATTACCAATCAAATTATTCTACATTAATCAAAGTCGATATTTAAAAGCCTATACGTTAAAGGCTAGAAGAAAACATAGACTTAATCCTCAAAGTTAGGCTATGTTGTTCTAGAGTCCTTTTGCAGTTTCAGTTTAACAGTATCCTACTACATTTACCTTGCTCTTTTCCAGAAAAGTCAAAATTATGTTAGAATAAAGAGGACACGGTAAGAGACATAAAGTCAGCATTATAGAGTCACTGAGTTCTATTATTGCTGCGGCAAGGACGTTAAAAATTGCAAAGGAAACACCATAGGCAAGGATTAAAAGACCTAAAGTAGATAAATTCAATCTGTGTAAATCGTAAAGAAAATTAAAGAGCCAGTAAATATCTATAACCGATTACACCTTTTATAAAAGTCCATTTCATAGCTAGCAAAGTGTGGATATCAAAAATTAGCCTATTAAAACGAGAAAATATGATGATTAGCAAATTACGGTGCTTGTACAGCAGATACATTATTTAAATACAGGATTTAATTTAATCACGCCTACAGTAAATAAATGCTTAATCTTTACCATAATCTTAAAGAAACACTTTATATTAATTATGATTAGCTATATTAAAGTGTTATATTTGACGGCTTTTTTGGCTAAAGAGTATCTTAAGATTAGTAAACATACTTACACAATTGCACCCGATATTATGCAATTGAAACTGCTTTGCATTCCTAATAATTCTAAGCTACCATAAATTTTGATAATAAAATTTTTAAATATAACGCAAATAGCGAAAAGGAGCGATCCAGTAACGCATAAAAAAACTTCTGTAATTCTCCAAAATTCTAAGAAAGATCAAAAGTACTTTCTGTAAGCATTACCAAAAGAGTAGTTTCGAAGATTTTACTAGAAACAACCTGTATTCATAATTCGCAACGATAGAGTGAAAAATAGATCACTTTCAGAGTTTCAGTGGCTTCATTCATTACCTGTCGTTTGCATTAAATAGTCTGCTTGAACAATAAATGGCGATAGTCGAATACCGAGAAGGCACACTGTTATTCCTAACAGATTGATGATGCCGTAACGGAAGCCAAGAAATAAAAAACCCAGAATTAGAATGATAGGAATGGAGAGCTCGAAGACCTAGTTGTTGTCGTTATGTTGCAATGATAACAAATTATGACATAATTAGTTATGATTGACTTCAGGAAGGTTAAAACTTATAGTACTGTTATGATTTTATCGATCAATTAATTTCATATTTGACATCTTTACGGTCATAACCCGAAGTTACGACCAAGGGATATCTAATAAGTTACTAAGATTTTGGATCATAATGTAAGAAATCTGCAGAATAGCATCAGTCAATTGTCACAATTCCAGTAGCAACGTTACTATTAAGTATGAGGCTACGAACTATCAAATGTAATCGGAGTGTAATAACGATAAAATAACGATTTTGTTTTAATTTGGAACTTGTCAAATCCTTGCTAGATGTGTTTCTTGTACAAAACACTGCATTCGCACCGTGCAGTGGCTGGATCATGAAATTCTACCAGACCGTGTCTTAATATTATTTTATGATCCACTAGCTCAACAACTCGTCGATTACTAATCTCGCAGTTGAATAATCGTAAGTTATTGATATTGCAGCATATTCTTCAGGTGATTTGTGTAACTTGATAGAAAATATTACCTAGGGTATTCCGCTTAAATTTCAGTACAAGTGCTAGATAATTAATGAAAGTATAGTAAATCCATACAATTACATTAACTATCGTTGTACTTGCATGATAGATTTACTAGCGATAGAGATTTAATGACCGTGCATCGCTTATTAGCCCAAGGTATAAACAAACCTCATTCACTTCTTACCTCGATACTTCCTCTACTGGTAATGATTGAATGTCTACACAACGCAATCAAATTAGCGGCAACTTCGAGAAAGCTAATTGCAAAATATACCATCATTCTGTCAACCAGTTTCCATGAAATTTTGCTTGACTGAAGTCGCATCATTCTAGAAGTATACACCGCTGCTACCATACCATAGCCTAAAAAGGTGGTCGTTGGAAGCAAACGAATGGAAAAAATTTTCTTAAGTTTATAACCGATGACTTGCTGAAAGGCCAAAACGAATGCCATTAACATTGACAACCATAAAATTTTCCATAGTTTCCTAAAAATTAAAAAAACAATATTAGAAAGAATAGAGCAACTCGGAATAAGATTTTGGTACATGCGTCGGTTACTACTATAAATCTCAAATACTGAACGTAATGGATAGGTTAAGGTGCGGACTAGAAATTTTGACCTTCTAGTAGTCCATAGTTAATTAAATACAAACCCAAGTTGGTCAATGCTCTAATTATTTGAATCTTGAGAATTTATTACCTCTATTTTAATCACCATAGGCAGTGGAAATTATTGCTTCTAATGACATGACATTCGTTTTTAAAATCTGCTTGACTCATGTTATAATCGATATTTTTTGTCATTACGAAATGGATGAGGTTAACGGGGTTGGTTCTGTACTAAAATTCTTATGGTTCGAATACTTCTTAACAGTCAAATTACACATTGATATTAACGTAGGGATATACAGTACTAGAAGTTATTGCGAATATCTTGATTATTTTTGAGCAGCTACTTTACAAATTAAACTAATGTCACAGTGTAAAACGTTTATTCGGTTATTGGCCAACAGCGTGGGCTCGACCATACTGCAGTCGATCAGTATTAATTGTAGCAACGCTAATGATATGACTGTAGAATTACTTTTTTAGTTTTATCACGAATGCTTCGAATTACATTTCGCCAACAGATTAGACTACAGCAATGATTAAAATATATATACGACCTTCTCGCGGACGGCTAGTACACGTAAATTATGATCATTTTAGAAGTATTTTTATTTTTCATTTGCGTCCCTTACTTACGTATACGCACTTCTGCTAATAGAGATCTTGAGAGGTCTATGATTTTTCTTATTTATTACTGACAGATCGACGAGGATCAGTGTACGTATGTCTATCAGAAGCTATTAAGAAATCGTTTAAAATATTCAGATATAGTACAAATACACGACTACATGAGAACAGCCTGCAGATTTATATTGACGTGACGCAGACTGAGTAACGTCGAATTTACCGGTTCAAAATCTTGATCTTACATTTGTAGATCTTGACCTTTAAATGCTGCAGCAAAGGGCCGCTATTAGCACAGTACATTGCGCGTGAAACAGTACGTACAGTATAGCACGTTGCCAATGTAAGACTAATACCTGCGATATCACTTACTTTTAAGATCGCTTGATTTATTAAATGCTAAGCTTTACTGTTTGTGAATAAATATACTCATATCAATCACCTTCTTCGAGCTTTAAGCTTTTTAAGTAAGTTCTCGCAGTTTAATTGTTTGTAAGACTTGTAGTCTTTGTCTCTAATCTTGACCTTCTTCACGTCATCCCTGATAACGTCCCAGACGGCAGGATTTGCTGCAGCAACTGGTACAATTTTGGTCGAAACGTTATCAATAGATGGTGCTGTCATGGTTAGGAGGGCATTATTATTCGGTAGAGGTGGCAAACACAGTAATAGTGGACAGTAGTAAACATTTGCAATCATTGAATTTCTAGCACTTTAGCATTCGATGCTATTAATAAATGACTTTCTGCGCCAACGTTACTACAAACCGTGTCTGAAGTCAAGATGACAGCAATCCTTCGTCTTCCTATAATTAATTAGATGCTACCGCGTCTCATCAGAACTGTACATTTCAGTATGCCAAACTCTACTGCATGTTAAAGAGATAAAACTTCACGTTTGTCGGTTTTAAGCATAAAACTTCAAACTTCAAAACTTTTGCCTGCAAGAAATCAAACTAATGATTTTCTACTGTAGTGTACTGTACAGTACTGTACGACCATACTGTACTGTACTGTACTGTACATTTGTCTTAGAAGTCCCTGGTACAGTAAAATACTGTACTGTACTGTACAAGTGTACTGTACAAGTGTACTGTACAGTGTACTGTACATTCAGTCACAGTGCATACTCACAGTGAACAGTGCACAGTGATCTGTACAGTACAGTACAGTACAGTAAAGGAAATCTCACCCTTCCCCCTCTCAATAGCTATACTGTACAGTACTGTACTGTACAGTATAGTCGACCGACGTGTTAACATAACTTATACCTTTGAAACGTTTCTCAACTCCTTGGCAAGTTGGCATACTATCATAACTAGGAAGAGCTGCTTCAGATAGTGTTTTTGCGTAAATAGAAAATAAATCTACAGACATCATGAGATGGATTTATCTATGACATCCTTCTTGAATACTTCGCATCAACTAGAAGAAAAGTGCAAAACTATTGTTAATAATGAAAAAAGAGATCAGCTTATAGTCACTTACTTAAGCGAAAGACATGCAGAATATGTGAATGGTACAAGGCCCAGTTTTGATTTTCCAGCAAACTTAGAATGGCTAAACTGCGAAAATCAGTTATCATTTGAGAATGAGTTGAATGGAAAACTATGCGTTTTGGATATATTCACGTACTGTTGTATAAATTGCATGCATGTTATGCCGGATTTAAAACATCTGCATTCGAAATTCAGTATCGAAGATGGAGTTATGATTATTGGTGTTCATTCAGCAAAATTTGATGATGAGAAGTCAACCGCTAATGTTATTCAGTCAATCTTACGCCACGAACTAGATCATCCTGTAGTTAACGATGAAAGAGGAATTATATATGACAGCTTGGATATACAATGTTGGCCGACTTTCGTTATACTTGGCCCTCAAGGTCAGTTTCTGCATGTCTTGCATGGAGAAGGAAAACGCGAAATGCTGATGTGGCTAGTTCGCCTCGGGTTGCGGTACTATGATTCACTCGGATTGTTATCTCATCATTCGATCCCTTTAAGTTTAGAGCGGCATAAAATTAAACCTATGACTCTTTCCTTCCCTGGTAAGGTTTGTGTAGTGAATGATGGAGATGACATAGTTATTTCTGATTCCGGGCATCACAGAATCCTAATTGTTGGGAAAGATGGAATAACGCGTAGCTGTGTAGGTAACAAGGAGTATTTTGAAGAAGGATTTGTCGATGGTGTCTTTCAAAAGGCACGTTTTAATAATCCACAAGGCATAACATGCAGCCGCAACGGAAAAACGATTTTCGTCGCAGATACTAACAATCACGCAATAAGAAAGGTGCGTGCAGTCCGTACATGTTTAATAAACTGTAGCATTATAATCTGTATGGTTTCCGTCAGTTGTTATTGTTACCAGTACGTTATGAATTATGGCTTTACCATTTTGACGTTGTAAATGGTGTGTGGGTGGAGATGAAATTACGATAACGTAAACATTGATTAAGTACAGTACAGAATAATAAACAGAAATAAATAAGATGTGTCCAGATTTTCCGGGCGTCCTGTACTTTACTAGCTGTAAGTGATAATTTAACTTATACTATACCGGATTAATTTTAGACTTATCGAATGTTAGCACAAGTAGGTCTAGCTTCGCGCGTCTTTAAGAATGTACTACGTGATGTAGGATGAACTGCCTTTTCAAATACTGTTTTCTATGCTGTTATAAGATCGATTTAGAATATTGTGAAGTGACTACCATTGCTGGAACTGGAAATCAAGGGAATGATTTGGTTGGTGGGGGTGCAGGAAAAATGCAAGCTCTAAATTCTCCGTGGGATTTAACACTAGGGCCCAGTCCAGGTACCTAACATTTATCGCAACTGAAAACTAAACTGTATTGTGGACGACTTTATGATATTGCGTTTAACTTTTAAGGCGTTTAAAGCGCGACAAAGTAATATTTATAAATTCACATTCATCAGCTGACAATACGATGGAAGGATTCACATTCATGAATGATATTTAGGTTGCGAGGATCAGGAAGTTGTCCTATATATTGCTATGGCGGGATCACATCAGATCTGGGCTTTAGCTTTAGAAGATTGTGTTTGGTTTAATAATAGGTACTGCTGCATATGGGCACGTAACTTGTTACTCACCCAGTTAACTAGTTAACAAGTTTAATTATTAAAAAATTGCTAAACTTTCGTCATATCACGGCAACTAGTTAACCAATTAATTTAATAATTTGATTATTTCAACGGAGAAATGATAATTCAACGTCTTCAGCCGATAGTGTGATACGGTACTACTTAGTCGCCTGTGGTCTTAAATCAAATACGCCAGTGCCGCTAAATTCACTTAATTTATAATGAAGATATTCGAATCCAAGTTTAATAAATAGTAATAAATTTAATGCCCGATTTGTACAGTTTTCAAGATTTCATATAGCGTAATATACTTAGGTCATTACGACGTGGTTGTTGCTTGGCTTTTTGCGGTAGTGGTGACGAAGAGAATAGGAATAATTATTACCCGCATAAAGCGGGTTTTGCTCAACCTTCTGGCATAGTGTCTACCAATTCAAGCCTGTATGTTGCGGATAGTGAAAGTAGCACTATACGAATGATTGATATCAAAACCGGAAGTGTGAAAGGACTAGTGGGAGGAGGACTTGATCCAAAAGTATATAAACTGTATTTAGAAAGGAAATGCAATATATTAGGATATATAATTCATTGTTTGTTTTAGTGTTACTATTATAGAAATTTTTATACTCGTATAATAGGATTTATTCTCTTTCGGGGATGTTGATGGAATTGGTATGTCAGCTAAGTTACAACACCCAATTGGTATTGCCTGGCGTGCTTGTAGCAAAGACGTTATCATTGCTGATTCTTATAACCATAAAGTAGGGCATAGATCGTGAAACAAGAGCTATTCTTGTATGGATTGCATACTTTTGAGATATCACTGTTTACAATTTTTGCAGATCAAAATTATTAATCCAACAAAGCGTACCAGCACTACCTTAATTGATGGAAATTGTGGGCCGGGCATGAATGACAAAATAGTTCCGGATGTAAAACTGCGCGAGCCAAGCGGGTTACACTTGTCCCCTGATGGAAATTCGCTCTATATAGCAAACACAAACGCACATGTTATTACCATGATTAATCTGCAAACTATGGAGCAATTAACGGTAGTATACTTAGCAAATACGAGAATGTTCTGCGAATTGAATATTTAAGTAGTTCTTGTACGTATTTTACAGATGAACATAATATTTACAGAAGCCGTTTCGGATTCAGTCGATAATGTCAATGACAAGGTATTAGTGACGGATGCAAAGCCAGTCATTCGACTAAATCAGGTTTGCTTACCTATGGATGCTTATGGTGAAATCCAAATAAGTGTAACATTACCAAAACAGAGTCATTTCACACCAGGAGCAAAGCATAAATGGATTTACGTCAAAGATACTGGTAATGCACTTACATACCTATGTGCAGCTTTTACACTTACATTATACACTGTAGTAACTTAACTTGCATAACCTTCCTGTATCATTAGCTGCTACAACTATAATCTCCCTCGATAAATTCAGAGGAAAATTTGAACAGAGCTTGGAAATTTTAACTACTTATCAACTTAATTCTCCTAGAGCTGTAGATGCTTTTGTTGTAAAGGTAAGATGAAACTGTTTATTCCGATTTGTCGTTTGCAACCGTTTTGTGCTTTTACTAATGTAGTGAACTTGGTAACGTGTTTCTACAGTTTGATGTGACGGTTTACTACTGTGATGATCTTACTGGAACATGTAGAATAGCTGATTCTCGGCTTGTCCTACCAATAGCAGTTACTGAAAAAGAAGAGGCCGTGAGCTCACATTCAATCGCCCTAGACTTTATAGTCCAGTAGGTATACTAGCATAGTGCTTTATGGGATAAACCTGCATAGTTAAAGTCTCTGGGTAGTGATAATTGCCGAAATTATAACGAATCAGTATCGGATTGAATTTTACTATGAATGAAATCCGCTCAGACACCCAACTTTTGCTTGCGATTGCGATGCTGAAATATAATTATAGCACTCAATCGGATACTCTGCAGTATAAGTCTTACTTTTTGATTCATAAGTAATCATTTTGTCCGTTCCTACGAGTCTTAATTTTAAATACTAAATATGAATCATTTTCATATTAATATCAAGCTCAGATAGTTAAGTATTTGTATCAGACACGGCGTTTTAAATTATGTACGCTAAAAATAAAACTGAGTACGCTTATAATTTACTTAATGGTATTGATAATACACGGCAATTACTCTAGAATTGAACATCATGAGGCAATGGTACCCTATAATTTAATTTTAACATAAATAATTGACTAATATAACATATATAATTAGATGTATCTATAGTAGATTCAGTAATAATAATTTCGATGGTGCTGCTGCAGCAATCTGCACGTACAAATTTAATGTACGTTTTTATATTACTTTTTGAAGAAAATTGACATTTATACAGTATTATAGTGGTGCTGCGGTGAAGTAATATTTGGATATTGATGTTAAATTAAATTAAAATGGGCCTATGATTAATATTTTTGCTGTTATAGTAGAAAAATGTTACAAAAGTTAATTTTCGACAGTTATAATTATTATCTGTTAGTGAATGTTATGGCTTTATTACAGTTTATTATTAAATTATACGAAAATGATTAAAGAATATATGTGTCGAATATACGATAATTTTAGTATTTGCAATTAGAAGATACGATTATGGTTAGTCAAGACCAAATCACGAATTTTTTGTGAGTGGTCTCATAAAACCACATTCAGACTGTAGCCTGATATCATTAATTTTAGTACTGATACTTTATATGTTTACGTTTAAATGGTACTACCTTATATACCAAATTTACGAAAAGACATTATAACGAAGACTGTAGCTATAAAGACTAGATGTTTGGTAATCAAGATCATAAGGAAGTCTTTGATATTTGGATTGATGCTGCAGATGCTGACTTCGACCAATGTTAGCTTAAAATTATATTAGTCACTCTAGAGCATGAAATAGCATGGACACTCTGCAATTGATGAATTTACTATTTCTCGGTAAAGTAGAACAAGTAAGGTGCGCTGTACTCGGTATAGAAAGCTTCGAGTCTGCGATATTATGCACACTGTGTACGCACCACAGTACTGTCCATACTGCAATCAGTTGACTACAATTAATGATACATGCTTATCCTTTTCACATGTAACGAAAGGTGTTCTTCATTAAGCTAGCGCCTGCTATTATCACTAATAAATCACAAGATCAAACACTAGATAGAGCTGGAATATATTTGATGAAACAAGTGCTTACTTATAGGCAATTATTATATATATATTACCAAAGTGCGAATGGAGTATCAATTATTGAAATCAATTTCAAGGATGTAGTTCGTATATGTGTAATTACTGTTCCGTAACGTTTTACCAATATTCCGTAGCTGAGGTTGCTTACATACGCGTATATGTATGACGTATACAGTAGTAATATAAGTCACAAAATAAAGTGGATCGATGATGGTATTCCTTTGGTTGCATATTGTGTCATCATGTCAAAATGATTGGAAGGAGTTCGATTCAAAAGCGACTAAGACTACTGCGTAGTGCATAGTTTCTGTGAAAGTGTTATCAGCACTATAGCCGAATGTTAACATTCGATAAGCTTTGAAGGATTATGATACTATAGAAATTGATATTCCTGCAACTAAGAATGATTTAGCACAATAAGATACAGTATAATCTTATAATATATAAGTATATTGTGCGAGAATAAATTTATAGCATCTAAAGGTAGATTTATATACTTATTCAAAATGTAACGATGGAGTTGAGATCCTACAGTAATCGAAGATTTAGTAAATTTATTCAACTGTTTAGATATCGTATCATATTCCGTCTTATGCCGTTTATTTATGTTGTCTGGTCGCTTCGTGATTAAATTATCATGATAACAAAGATGTGATTATGAACGATGGAATTATGCCACATATACATATTAGAGATGTGCTATAAACAATGATGTTAAATTATTTGGTTAATAAATAATACAGGCTTTTAATAGCCGTAGTGACTTTACGCAACATATAAATCTATTGTTAGCATATTTCGTATATGGGTAAACGGCAGTAGTATGATAGCTGTTACAGTATAATTATCATACCGTAATGCTTTCGTTTTATCATTGGCAATGTACATTCTTTTATTCATCAGCTGTATCAGGCAATGAAAGTACAAGCAGCATTTAATTTCAGTAACTAAAATACGGATGCACAACCTAATTATAAAAGTTACTCATATTTTTAATTAAGGATTAACAACGGTATTACTTCATGAAATCCTATTAATTTAATACATTCTGAATCCTATTTAGGTTAGATGAACCAAAATTTAATGTCAAATAACTTACACACACAGCTAATAAAATGCTACATTTTAATATGTTAAAAGTTATGGTATTAAAACATTGATACAGACATTATGGTTTATTTATCCTGTATTAGACTTTAGGTAAATGGTAAAATTATTTTCATCAACAGTAAATGAGTTCTAAGTGCTGTATTGCTAGCGAGATATCCATAACTTACAGCGGCTTTCGCTTATTAATTATAGCCTTACATATCATTAGATAATGCAATTATCTTAACCCACCTCATAATTTCAGTTCGCTTTTATGCCCTCCTTAGGACCAGTATATGTGTTTTAAGATATAAAGTAAGTGCAATATGTGGCTGAAATATCGCCTGATTATTCATTAATAATGACCAGTCCCGTAAAATGTATTACATGCTAACATTGGCAATTATTGCTTGCTGCTTATGTGCTGAGTACAACACCAAGTAAAACTATAACTCGTACGGTATGGTGTGCGGCAAGTTGGTTTTTATAAATTGGCATCATTGTTATAACAAGATATTGTAAATTTTTAAATTCGAGATTTCATTGTTACACACGCTGAGACTATATAACTTCAGTAAAACTAGTTCTATAATCATATTCTCAAAAATTGAGCTTATTATTAAAATGCTCCATCTATATGAGATTAGTCATCATACCTTTCTATACGTATTTTAATTATATTTAACCGATTTAGCAGAGATATAAGATTTAGCATGTCTCATGAGTAAATTTTAAGTGAATATTCTAAAAGTCAAAATATTGCAGTTGGTGAGATTAAACAAAGCGCTAAATACTTTTACATTTAATGCTGCTATATTAAACTTGCCTATAAATTTCCATGCTGTTCAGCAATATCTCTGATCAGATTTTGAAAAGCATAGAAAGCAGTTGTTCTGTGGCGGTCTCGCCACATAAATTCGCTTAGATATCCAAGAATTTCTGGAGCATGACAGCATTTCATTGATTTCAATTCCCCTTTGTTTGATTCCAATAAAATTTGTGTGCTCTATATCCACATCATGCACGGAATCAATGAACCATAACGGATGATTTGCGGTACCATGAGCAGCGACATTCGATAGCTGAGCAATAATGCAGTATCCTCTCTATTCGTTAGAATATATCTACAATAATTTCCGGAGTTGTATGCTCCTGAATAATAGATAAGAGCGTGGCAGGATTCCTTAGATGTACAATCTGCGCAAAACCTAGTTCGGGTACCTGAGAAATGCTAACCATTCTTAATACCTATATCTCAGAAGTTGTTGGGCGGCCGCGGTCTTGTTGAACACACTAATTTAAAATTAACTAATTCGTATTGTTTCCTTGTTTTAACAATTGCTGCACTGTCTGCACATCTATAATTTTAAACAAGTTTATAAAAAGGACGAAAATCTTCTTGATTGATATTAAAAGAACATTACATCACATGATATTATTTTGGATTTGTGTCTAAACAGATTCATCTACTTTGTATTACACTATCCTATTTCGACCTCAAAGGACAACTTTAGTTTGTAAAAGCTTTCAGAACATACTTCTCTAAACTATCTGTATACATTACAGGCAGTATTATCATCAATTCCGATGTCTTCGCTGGCTTCTGTTAAAAGATATTCTCTTGACTAATTGTCACAAATTTCGTTTGTGACAATGAATTCTTCTTCTATGATTACCAGTAAAACCTTCTACCGTATTGTAAATCTGCTACCACGTGTCACTACTTTCACTACCTTCGTGAAGGATCTTAGTCATCAGCAAGAGTCAGTCTAGAAGTTTACTAGGTAATATTACAAAGCTATCTTTATTCAACTGTCGTTCCACTCAGCTTAAATTACTCTCGTCTCTTTTTAAGTACAAATGCACTTCCTTAGATACTTGTGCCAAATTCCACCTGTACAATCTGTTAATTATTTTCTATACTGTAATATAGTCTTTTTCTATACACTAGTAATTATATTAATAGAGCATATATATGTGTTAATTAATATATTGTGTCCTAATTTAAATCAGCTTAGTGCCTAACAGATTGCATGAAAGTGTGACAACCGTCATTTTGATTATTACACGTATTTAGAAAAAGTACGTACTTAACTTAAATCTACGCAGTTGTTAATGGAAATCCATTATCAGTTGAATATTACAATTTTACAATAATATTTACAACTGTCTATCTCTAAATCAACTACATTATCACATTTACTGTCTTAAACCATAGCACTAATATAGAATAAGAAGAAGCTATTTCTACAGAAATATAACACAAATGATACATAAAAGGATATTCATCTAATACATTTAGAGGTGATGTAAAAAGCTAATATACGGTAGCGATAATATTTGGAATAAGTTATTACTGTATCATAAAATATTCGGAACATGCTATTTCATATGATAATTAATATATACGTTCGTAATAAATGTGCTCATATGTTAATATGGATGTGATGATGTAATAAAAGGTAATATAATCTATATTACGATAATATAGTATATGTATTTGGGATAGGGTTTAAATAAATGAGCGATAGTTAGGTTTCATCCATGGTACAGTATACCTATATGATATTGATTTTACAGATACTGTACCGTATCGTAAAGGCAAAAACTTCATCATGGAGAACACTACATGATTATAATTGACGCGACAAAGTGTACAATATGAAAGTTACTATTGCCCTCGTCGTACGGTGTAATGTTACCGGATGGTATGCTCGCAAATGATGCTTCTGATATGTAGAATCTTAAGGACAAAACCACTCTTAGGAATGGCCGTAACATATATATGTATATAATATCTTAGAAAGAGAGAAAACGAGAAGACTACGAGGAGAGCATTGGTTGAAGAATACAGTAGATTGAGCGTACTCCGGATATACTTATCTTACCTAGCACAACAAATATGGATATTTCCCGTATTAGCTAGGGTACCACTGCACTACGTATTAATTAATAATCCCTGGTACCCTTAAAGTCCATTTGCCAAAAAAATGTTATACATTTTGTACATTCTTCAATTTTAATTATTTTTCAGTTCCTCAGAGCTTAACTCTCGATAAAGTTCTCAGCCAAGCTTAAGCTATATTCTCAATTTGGTTCCAAAATATTTTCGAATTTTCACAATAGATTGGGTAGGGTCCATTAGACCCCACTTGCAGCTGAGCGTCGTTATAGTAACACTGTGGCTAAGTATACAGTTTAAAGACTAATAAGAACCATTTATTACAGTCAATTGCATCTACTACTTCTTCTGCTAGTATCAATGACCTTTGAGTAATGTCTAAGAATTACAGCTGGACTAACAAATGCAAATAAGTTACGAAATATGAAACGATGTATAGCTGTTGCATAGAAAGTGATATGACAGCCATTCTGTAAGGGGTTGTAAAACCCACCACTACAGCTTGGTACAGAACAAACTAACGCTATAGTTTCAAGTTATGAAGTAACATGTACTAAAAGTAGTATCTTCTTTAGGACGTACTTTTTCAGATATAAATCTAAACATTAAGTTCACCATTTGGTTAAAGTGAATGGAGATGTAAAACACAACGAGTAATAAAAAAACTCAATAAATTCCTTAGCCTAGGTGTAGAACGCCGGCGGCGGGTAGCGGCGCAGCTTTACTGCGTATTGTATCATTTAAACTTTACATTATTTAAGGCATATAATTTTTGTATTATTGAAATCTTCATGACTAATCACCAATTGTTTTAATTGGAACTTCAATTTTTCTCTCTTGATCGGAAACAAATTCCGCTTGTTATTTTTTGTATCGCAGTTTTAATGTAAATTATAACTACTTTTATACAAAGAAATTGTACGTGAAAGCACGGTCAAACAAATTGCGTCTGTGAAAACAATAGTTAGTAGTTTATTTGCATAAGGTAGATATTGTTCAAAGCTTTGCTAAATGACTTATCAGTTCGAATTGTTCGTGTCTTACAATAGCTTTCAATCAGCATCCGATGTTAAGAAAACAATAACAAGTACGACAATTTATGGCCTTATATAGGACAACTCTGACGTTTTGCAGTATTACGTAAGCAAGGCTTTAGAGCATCCTTACAAACCGAAAAAATTTTCCGATGTAACAAGTTTTCGCAGCTTTTGATCGAAATATATATTCAACATACAGCATCAGATTTAATTGAACTAGTATCGAAACAAGCTAGTTATAAGTTGATTTTAAATCGATATTTAATACATCTGGATAAAGAACCAAGATTGGATAGAAGTTACAGGTGGTCAAGATTCGTTCAAAGTATCTTCAGCCTGTTATACAAGTAGTATGGCCTTGCCTCAATTAATTCTGTGTATTGCGCTGCTATCATGCTCTCACGGTAAGATATTTAATACGATTTTGATATTTCTGTAATAATAATTGTAGATCATTAAAGCTAAAATTGTTTCTAGATATAGAATATTTTACAAAAGAGAAACTTTAACATCACTGTAAAAATTTCCAAGTACTAAAAATCTATGAACCGGTCATATGAATCATTAATTTCAACTCAACAATTACTTTTGTCTAGGTGCAACCATTATTAACAATATTACACCGACAACAGGCAGCACGGCAGGAGGCACCCGAGTCACAATTTATGGGGAAGGTAAAATTCGTATATTTGATATACTTCAATCTTTAATATTTCTATTCTAATAGAGACTATGTCCAATTATACTGAAATCTATGCATAAACAATATTAAAAGTAATAAAGCTAGAACTATTGCAGTTGCAAACTGATATCCATGCAAACTTATACCTTTCATTTGATTAACTAGAATTCAGTCAAGATCAATTCAATTATGATGTCCCTTCTCGTGGCAATATCGTATACCTCTCTTCAGATCGAAACTTACTAAGATGTGATGTTATCACCTACTTAAGTAACACAAAAAAAATCGTCTGCGATACACGGTAATACATATTAATGTAGACCGCATAATAAAACTACTACTCTTTTTCATTTTTCGAAAATTATTCGTTCATGATACTTGTAGCTAAGACTACTACGAGCGAACTTCGAATAGTACTTCTCTTCCTATATGTGACTGCTCGATATATACTACTAACTACTTCATAGATAACTTTACTATTATTAAATGTAAAGTAGTTGAAGTCTCTAAAATTCTAACTAAAATATTACAGCAGTAACATTGATACTGCTTCGGTGCACTGGAAAATATTATATATATACATAGCACTGTCATTTATCCTTTTATAAAATATACTGCATTCTATCGAATTTATTATTGTATGGACCATACAGAATATCTTGCATCAACTTCGACTTTAATATGCAATAGTGCGCAATTTACGTGGTCATGAATATGCCAGATTTTTGGATAAAAGAAACTTCAGTTATGCTAGCCTCAGTATTTAATACTGTACGTATTTATATATATATATACCATTATTATTAGTAACCTCTACGTGACAAATAGAGACCCCTAAATTAGTTACGTACGTAATAAACAGAAATCTACACCAATAACGTTTACTATGTCTGCCGTAATAGTTTATTCACGTAACCATCTGTGAACCACTATTATAAGTATTATTATTAAAATTATTTATTATCCTGGAAAATATAAATGCTGAGATAATTATTCCAATATTAAATGACATTAAGTAATTAATTATCTCATAAGGTATTGCATTACGATCACAAATTATCTGTTTAACTATTACTATTACATATTTACATTAGACCTTCACCTTCCTCTGAAGTATATAAATTGATCCTTTTCGTTGACGGTGTAAGAATTTCCGAAAATAGTGGAGCATACTGTGGCAGTCAATGTAATTACCAGGTATGTAAACTATATGAAATCGTAAAGTTAATACTGTACGTAATCAAAGCTTTATCCTCTATTCAGTTGCATCTTCTAATAGAACTAACTTTTGATGTTAATTCATTCAAGTAAATACTTCGTAGTTATCAACGGCATATTTAACCTACTGTCAACAAATTAAAATAGTATACAATGCAATGTTCTCATATTTAATTACTGATAAAATAGCAAATGTCAAGGTTAATATACTAATAGTTTGCTTTTCAAAATCATGATAGCAATATTTTACATTGGAGCCATAATAATATATTCGATTATACTAACGGGCATACGGAAGTTGCCGTAATTACTGAGAAATACTGTAGAGTATAACATACGAAAATAACGAAATAATAAACTTAGCCTTAGTTCGTACTATGTTATTTGATAAGGCTGTATTATTACAGATAACCTTTATTATAGTATTATACTGTGCAATAATCTCCATAATACTGTACACTAAAACGATTGAGACTCCGCAACCTGTGATATCACCTATAGCCACACGGAAACATCAATAAAATACTTGTAAAGACATAGTAAATTAATCTTAAAGATTTTGTTATTGCTTTTTAGAATATAAATCATTAAAAATATAAAATGGCTCATAGTTAAGATTTTATCTCAGATATAGTGAAATATAATTAATTAATGTGATTCTTCATTTAATGCATCTATTTATCTCATTCTCTACCTTTAGTATTCAGAAAGTGTTTCACCGACTATAACTGCCATATTACCGAAAAGTGGTTTACCGGGTAAGTGGCGTAGTCAATTTTTGAGAGCAGAATGTATTACAAAATGGATAATTGCCTACTCCTACAAATCACAAGCTAGTTTATGTATGTGATGCTCACTGTCAGAATTATTTTACTATTCGCTTCAAAATATACTTTACTTCTTCTATACATAGGAACCATAATAACAGTAAAAGGTCGAATTTTTACCAATTCTGTTAACAGTATTCAAGAACTTGAAAACGATGCCACCGATGTCAAGGAGATTGTAAGGTACATTGCACCGTAACGTTATTATGAGAATAAAGCAAATGAACCTAGCAGACAGTATTCTAAGAAGAAATTTTTCATTTACTGAATACTCACTCAAAATTCAAAACCATAGTGATAATCTAACTCAAAATAGTGTTATTAATTTAAAATTATGGCTTATCTAACGAACCAAAGCTAAATATGTGCGTATTATGCAATCTACAACTCGCACTAATTTAATTATTAATTCTTTCCGTGTATCTTTTACCACTGATAGATTATATTTTGGCAGCACCAGCATTTGCAATCCAATTGATCCGTCCACAAATGATGTGTATGGAGTATTAAATTTATTTTTCATGATACAGAAACCAATCATAATGATAATTTGTTCGATGTTGAATACCGCAATTGTTCCCACCCCAATACAAATAATTTTGCCTGAAATTTAAGTGATTTTATAATGAAATTATCTACTATCATAGATACGGCACTGCAATGAATTCTGAAACATCTACCGAAGGCTACATCAAATGCAAGCTATCAACCACAATAATCGGTAAATATAAGTTTTAGCTATAAGGAATAATTTCATCAGGGTTTGAGATTGACGGACTAATTAAAAAAATCCTTAGATTCAATCAATGGATCATTTATCATTTCTACTCTGGGAAGGTAAAATAATATTATTTTAAATACTATAGCAAATACATAACAGCTGTTACTACCAGTTATATGTGTAAGGCATCTATTACATAGCGATTAATGCGAAAAAAGTAATGAGACTTTGTATGCTAATAGATCTATACGAACTAACAAGGCACTAGTCGCGGACTCCCACCTAAATTTACACCTGTTTCAAACTCATGCTGGTAATAATTAATTGCCGTTTATTACTGTATTAAGCAATTAACTAGAAATGATCTTTGCGAATGAAGCAATCACTATCTATACAATAACTTTGTAATGTAGCGAGGTCACGATTGTTAGGGGTATCATCTTGATTGTAATTAATTATACACGTATAGCTATAAAAATTTACTAACAAGGTGTAGTGCAGCCCAAATATAGCTTAAGATTATATACAGTATGTGTGAATATCGTGCATGACGTAATTACTAGGCTAATTAAGATAGATACGCTTGTATAGGTGCTAGATCGTAGAGTGAGATTAAATATGTGAGGATTTGTATCAGTAATTGCAATACGGATTGTAAAAGTTATTAGTCATACTGTTTGGCACCTCCAGGTACGCTAGAGGTGTGATGTTAGCCTTATTAAGGTAGATAATGATTTATGTGTCACGAAGATACTCTGTACACAATTGTATATAAGCAGGAGATTTTATCTCCGAAGACAGAGTAGCCATAGATAATCTAGTCCTTGGTAGAAGACGTAATTATTGTAATAAAGTGATTTTCCTTCAAGTTTTGGAAGTCGTTGCGTTTCGATAGACACATTATTACACAAGGGTACGATATTTATAAACCGCTTTCTTCTAATACTCTTGTAGCAATCTCAAATATCATTCCAAATGTGGGTAGCACAGAAGGCGGAACAACTGTTAAGATAATGGGTCAGCATTTGGGTAGCTATCCAAACAACACCCGTGTCGTAATAGGAAATGTAGATTGCCAAGTTGTCAATATTAGCAGTAATTTAATAACCTGCATTACAGGAAAATCATCAGCGCCTTCGGAAATGTATTCAGGTAATAGTCGTATTAATTTCTAATCACGCAAGGTACAGTAAGAGGCAAAGAAGCATGAGCATTCCGCTAAAGCTTTTAGCGATCTTAAATAATCACTAAAATTATTCATTTAAAGTGTATAAAATTTGATAGCTCTAGCTAGGCTGCGAAGATATACTGGATATTAACCTATAGACTAAACATATGTAGGAAATAGAGGTATGCTTCGTGAGATATGGCTATCCAGCTTTCCTAGTACACTATCAGCGATTAGCAACTTAAATTCGACATCAGCTGATTATCGGTCGGAAATTGTCCCTACCGCTGCTATGCCAACATCAGCTTCTTTTAATGAATCTATCCGATACAGCCAGCGACTTTCCGGCTACTTTGTTGCTCCAAAGAATGATGATTACTCCTTTTTGATAAAATCTGACGACGACAGCGAACTATATTTCAGTACCTCTGAAAGTGCAAAGAATAAGGTACAGCAATTGACTGCATCAGACGGTACTATTAGATGAATTACATTACCTCCTCTAAAATATTTAGTTCATGCCGTCTCTGGCCTAATGTACGAGTTTTACGTATAAGAAATACTAATAATTCACCCTATTAGCAGAGATTAATTGAGAGGTTGCACCGTATAACGGTATAATTTCGCTCAAAAACAACAGATAAATACTATTGTTCTTTTCAATTAAAGTTTTTAGCCCTCGAGCATAAAATGAATTCGATTATAAGACTTGCTCTTCGTTTATCTTCAAACTATAGGTAAAAATTGCATCTTGTCCGTCATGGTCTAGCACCTGGGATAAGTATTCAACGCAGAGGTCAAAGAAATTGAGCCTTAAAGCTGGAAAAATGTATTACATAGAGGCTCTTCATAGGCAACGTTATTCCCATGCGGACCTTCAAATTGGAGTGCATATCCATAACACTAGATACCTAGAAGCACAAACTGGCCAAGCTATAAACGAACTGCAACAAATTGTTGAAACTACTATCGTCCAGAAAGAAATACAGGTAAGAATGTATTTCAAAGCCGTATCTTCTTTCAATTTTATATTATTTGAAAGTAATTTCCATTAGCGATATTGAACTATTAAATCGGTGTTTGTAAGTGAAATACTATTTCATTACTGCTAGAAATGTAAATAGTACTAAGCCTTTTAACGTTGCCGTTTACTCACTGAACCAATCTTGATCCTATTTATTTTATGTAGATTCTAACTATCAATAATTGGGATAACGGAACACTCTCTGAAAAGCAAGAACTCTACGTTCCTTTCTGCTTGACTGGAAACTACTTTCAAATCATTTACAATAATGAATCAAAGGAAAACGAATCAATACCTTACTGCGAATACTTAAATAGTTATAGGCTAATATTTAACGGCATGGAAACTAAAAAAATACATCCTAACACTACGGCTAAAGGCTTGGCCAAAGCATTAAATAATCTAAGCACCGTCAAAGCTATAGGATACCTAACCGTGATAAAATATCACAATTCCACCGGTAATAAGTACATTATCGAATTTCCAATCAATTTAGGGCCCCAAAACATGATAAAAGTTAGTACACCAAATTACAATGAGACCATTACGATTACGGAAATACGTAAAGGTAGAGCACCTTTACTTGAATTTTCGCTTGATTGGGGCGGTCAAATCTCAGATCCGGTTCAATTTGATATAACTGCCAAAAATCTACAGGCTAACTTACAGTGGTGGTTTGGAACATGGTGCCTTTATTTAAATGCTGACCCATCCGGAAAATCGCATCCAATACCCACTGCTTATTTTTATCAAGATTACGAAGGCACCAATTCTAGTTCTGAGTCCGGAAAACGGGTTGCTGACGTTCTGGCTAGATGTGGCAGGAAATCATTAAAAAATCCATATTATATCTTCCGTGCTGGCCACACTCGTGATACTAGTGGCAAGACCAAATCTGGCTTTGATGTGCAGAGAAGCAGATATGTAAGCAGTAAATCAAGCAAACATTACAGCTAACAGCAAGCCAACGTAATCATTTAAATCACTTCTACTGGCTGTCAGAATATAGCAGAAATGTCATAAAATTATAGCATTTGGTAATTATATTTATTACTGATATTAATCAATTTTTTCCTACATAGGTCTGCTTTTCTTACAAAGGCTTAATTAAAGATTCCGTAACTTTTAAGATCGAATATCAAAATGACGCGGGCGACACTTATCAATCCTGGAGAAGCTACCAATTTACTGCAATACAGGACAATAAGTGGCATGATGCCTGCATAGACATAGTGGAAAAAATAAATAGTGATAGCGGCTATTTTAGCAAACGGGCATCCATCTACACAAAATATATTGTTAATGAAGTCCGAGTCTACAAGCTGAACGGAGATCTATATATTGATGACACTTACATCGGCAAAATCAAGCCCTGGAGTATGTGTAGTATCCACTTAAGCCGATGTGTAATTAACTTTAACTTTGTTCATTGAGCACATAATATAAGAAATAGATAAGTTGTACTGCTGCCGATACATCCAAGTAAGCGAATAATTGATAGTGTATTCTTTTTTATGCCACAGTCTATACCTATCGAGCCGCTGCTCAGCCTAATGGAGCGATCATTGAGACCGTTAAAGTAAAGAAGTTGAGTGCTGGGTCATTTGAAATTGAAATGAAACCATTTGCATGTGCTCACAATTTAGGACTTATAAAGGTTGCTCACTCAACAATTACTCAAACTAAAGAAAATTCCAAAATTTATCGCGGAGATAAATGGCACGGCAATGCTACCGTTACTGTTACAAGGTCTGTATATTTGTGTATCTATCTTGCACACAAAAGATGCCATTGAATGTCTCTAAAACAGAAAGAATTATTTGAAATCCACATCTGTACAGCAGCTCTACATAGCAATTTGTAATCGTATGGAGCTAAGCTACTATAGCAATCTAGTCTTATTTTGTGATATTCATGGCTGCATTTATTTTACAGGACACGAGCTGCAAGCCCGCCAATCGGAGGAACTTTCGACCTTAGCTTTCAGGGCAATACCATCAATAATATCAAAGCAGATGTCAGTGCCGTCGAAATGAAAAACCTTTTAGAATCTAACTTCAATATTGGCGTTGTTCAAATAGAGCGTAGTGGCTCTTGCTCCGGTTATCGGTGGAACATTAAATGGATGTCGCAAGGCGGCGACAGGGCAGCTATTGACATAAAAGGGTCCTCTCTTACTGGTCTTTCACCAAAAGTTAACTCGCATACTTTAAGTGACGGGGGCATCTTCTTACGCCCAATTCCTGGTGATATGCTTCGAACCGCATCTCTTTTACCTCAGGCAAGACTTAGCTTACGAGTATTTTATGATGCTTTCTTAAGTACGAATTTATTTCTTTAATAAGTTGAAAGGGTGTAGTTAAATTAGGTAGAAAAATTACTGAAAAATACAAAACTTTTAATGACTAAATTTTAAAGCATGTATTTAATTTTTACAGGCTGTGGTAAATATTAATCGGATACCATCACTCTGCACAGGAGACTGTGTATACCAATACCAATTATCGTCAACGCCTACAGTTACTGGTATAACCCCAACTTCTGGCACAGGTGGCTTAAATCATTTAGGAACGGAGATAAAAATTTTCGGCACGGGTTTCGGCACCTCCGTAGCAGCAGTAACTGTAAAGATCGGAAAAGTAAATTGTTACGTAACGAAATGTGCTGACAATAACATCACTTGTCACGCTGGAATAAGCTCTGGGGGCCTTCGTCTTGTGGAAGTCACAATAACTAATAAAGGTAATTGAGGCTTTAATAGCCAACGAAACCCGCTTAATTTTGTATCATCAGGATTACAAAAGCGGTAATTGATAGTCCTAGTG